TTCCTTTCCGGTCTCCGCGTTCCATATACGGATTCCGTCGAGTGCGTGGCCCGCAGAGGCAATGCGTGCACCATTGGGAGAGAAGGAAACGGAAACAACCGGCCGGAACATGTCACTAGCCCTGATCACTTTCTGCAGTCCTACATAAACCCATTTGAGGAATACAACAAGTGAACATCGCGTAGCGATACTTACTGCCAACGAATATCTTCATTATTCGATCCACAGCCTCGCGAGTTCCTGATTGTTCCTGATCGACACAGGACAGCAGTTCCTTCAAAATACGTTCCCGGTATTGTCTGGCGCCTATCGGTAACGAGGAGAACGTGCCAAGAAGCAGTATTATACCGGTCACGCGTGCCTGCCGCAGCTCCCGTTCGAGATTGACGTTGCCGCCTGGTTGCCCTTCAAGAGATTCGAGCAGCCTAGATACGATCACCACCGTGCTTCTTTTTAGCTTGCCGAAGTCTGCACACATTCAGCATTCACCTTATTCGACGCGCATTGGAAGCTGACTGACCTGATGCTAGTAATCCAGTCAGGACGGCGCGATCTGTCTTCGATAACCCGGCTTCTACGAGCGCCACTACAACGTTGCCGGCCGTATCACACAAACCTTGCATGATTTGATCCTTGGTCTTGGTAAACGCCAGTCTTGCTGCATCGACGTGTGACAAGGCCGCGATGAACAGACGTTCAGGCAAGGCCTCTGACGGGGAGAACGAGCTTGCTGCGCAAAAAGCCACCACCAGGTCCGTGATGCGGCTCCTCCGCAGATCCGATTCCATGGCATCGTCGTTCAGCACGAGCTTCAGCTTGTCGGGGAATTGCGGAACTTGGTCACAACTTGCGATCGACTGCCTGCCGGACTCTTACGGAAGGTGAGGATCAGCTTGACGGAACCAGGTTGAAAGAAGTCGTTGCTCACCAGTGTATAATAGCGCGTCAAGGACGCTGCGCTCTTTCGCTGAAAGCTGCCTGTTAACCAGATCTTCCACGATCTTTGGAGCTCTGTCCCAGAGCGGGCTAATGATCTGATCAATGGCTAGGTGGACCCCAGGCCGATGCCATTGGACTATGGGAAGTAATTTTGCCAGATTCGTCTCCCAGTATCGCTCGGTCGCTCGAGGCAAGGATGGCCAGGAACCCAAAAGAGTCAACAAATCCGTGATTCTCTCTGCACGAATGAACCTGCCCTGATCACGCTGGACAGCCTTGAGCAGTTTCAGCAGCTTGGATGTATCGGAGACGGCTGCAAGGGTGCTTCTGCCAAAGTCTATCGGGAATTAGTTTGATCGACCAGATGTGCGCTGTCGACTGACTCGTTTCCACGATAGAACACAGCACGTCTCGTTGCCAATTTTGAAGCCATCGTTCGCGCATCATGTGGTCCAGAGCCTTCTTAGTTCGAGCACGGAACAATCGCAAGAGCTCCTCCCAAGCATGCCAAAGAGAACCTGATTGTTGCAGGGGCTTCTTGGACAGGCGCTCGGCGGCTTCGCGCATCCAATACTGCTCTCCGTTATCCATCTGATTGTGCCTATATAAATCTGGAAATGCGTCAAGGACTATCAGGAGTCCAATGATCTGCGTCTCTTGCTGTTCCGTCATAGATCCTGTGGTGGTCTTGGACTTGACTGCCAAGAGTGCGTCGAAGAGCTTCGGCGCATCAGCGTAATCGGTCATCGACCTCCGGCCGACGTCTGCGCAACGATGAGATTCATTCTCTCACGAAGACGGATGAACGGCTCACCTGATGACGACAGTGTTCTGAGTACATGGCAATCAGCGTCCGATAGCTCGGCATTCAGTATGCCATCCACAATTCGATTAGCCGATTGATATGGATCACGCTCAATCCATTTGCTGTCGGCGACAACCTCTTCCCAGGTGAGTCCATCAGGAATACATGCCCTGCGTTTCAGCGCTGAGCGTTCCAATTTCATCAACTTGAGAGTTTCAGATCGCAACAGAGGTCCGACGAATGATCCATAGACGATCTCCCGTTGCGATGGAGAATTGAGAACCGATTCGTGGATCCGTTGGCCATGCATGATCTGGCGGGGAGACGACAGGTGGGGGCTGTATGAGCACAGCCGTTCTGTTGAGCAAATCGGCGGCGAGAATCTTGTTAGCTACTCACGTGTATAGTGCATGCTCTTTATCTTTGTGCGGGTCGTAGGATAGTCGCTTGAAGGGAAGACTCTCGAGGATTTTCCAATACCATCTCATAGAACTGGTAGGCTTAAGCTGCTGCCAATTGCCTTGAAAGTCTATCATCAGAAGTCCTTCCCTGAGCGCTTCGTAAGACATCCAGCGCAAGGCCGGGCCAAACTTGTCAAGATCGAGATTAAGATCGCTTCCACCGCCACTAATCATCCGTTCAGTATCGTCAGGACGATCGTACCTCCGAACCGACTTACATGTCGGAATGAGAGCCGGAGAACCAGACTTCTTTAACGTTCTCGGTATGGCTATTCGGAGTCGGACCAACACCCGCGTTCGCGTACTCGGGCAAGAACTTGACCCGGACCTCGTCAAGGGCGAGTGCGTGCCGGAATACGCATACGTGCTTCATCCCCGTCGTCGTCTCCGGAAGGCTCGGCGCCCGGGCGACCCCGATTGACGAAACGGTATCCCTAGTAACAAGATTACCATACAGATAATAGGAAAGCGACACGGTGGGGGCTCACCATGCTCCAACGAAATGGACCTTGACATCTTTCTGGGAAAGCGTGCTTTTGAAGCGCTTGCTCAACTCCAACGGGTCAGTCTTCCGTTTGCGGCGTTCCTCTGATGTGATCGGCTTCGGCGCCTGCGCGACCTCCGGTTCTTCTCGCTGCTGTGTCGTCGTGTCGCGTCGAGAGCGGAAAAGCCACCACAGCTTGCTTCGCAGCCAAGCCTCTCCCTTCAATGTCGCATTTTCTTGGTTTCCGGAGACGCCAACGTCTTCGTCGTTCTTCGGTGCACGAACCTCATCCGATGATTTGACTGCTTTCTCCTGGCTCGCCAATGCAGCCATATAGAGTGCGTATGCGCTGTGATTCGTTGAACAGACTGATTGTGAATGGAGCCGCGCACTCACAATTTTATCTGCCCGTTATTTCCCTTATGGAGCAGACCGACCTGGATTGCAGGGCCGCAGCCATCAGCAGAACGTACTGAGCCCATGCACCGGAGAGACGCACCCTTTCTATCATTGCTGCAATGACGCGCACTTGATACGCGCCTCGCGAAAAGCCTGCAGAAACTGGTGAGGACGGCGCTGAAGACGTCGAGTTAGGCGACGGACCGAAAAGGAAGATCCGATCCCCAGGTCTATAATTCTCCGACAGCCATTGGTAGGCATCGAGGACGATCTTCTTGAAGTTCCTGTGTCAAAGGAGCGTCAGTAGAGAGTCTGGAACAGGTGGCTATAGGTGTTCACCATGCGATTGCCATGTCGATGGTATGATCCAAAGCCTGCATCCAATACTGTAAGGACAACCTGTTTTCCCTCGCATATGTTCCAATCCCGCTGTTGTAGTACGTTAGCTGGGTATCGTTTTTGATCAAGCGACTGTAAAGCTCGACAACGTTGGTGTTCTGCGAAAGACGACTAAGCATTGGCGCGAAGCGAAACATAGCGGCTGACCTTGTCACTGAATTGATTGGCGGTCCCGTCGATGCACACGACGAGGTTCCGAGCATCGCGTTTACAGGTGCAGGTCACCGAAGCCTTGGGAGTTTGATGCTGTTTTGCTTTGTCCGGTCCCTGACGAGCCGGATCGGGTCCGGACGACGCAGGATCCTGTGCGTCAACATCCGAGTCCGCCTCAGAATTTGCACTGGCAATGCTCTCATCCGACGGTGAGATCAAAGGCGCGGTCGAAGCCGTGTCGTCGTTAGCGGTAGGCATGGCTCAGCGGCGCAATGGAGTGAAGGTATCGGTGAGAGGAAGAGACGCGAGGAAGGGGTCCATCCAACCTGCGCACTCTGGCTCAGGAGGGGATATGGGTCGGTTCTCTTGAAGCAAGCACGCAGGACATGAGGTCCCAGGCCTAATATTGGAGCAGCAAGGTTCAATATATAACGGACATGCACCGCGTGTTGTCCCACCTAATGCGGGATCGAAGATCAGACTACTTATCATCTAAAATTGTACCGACAGGTTCGGGAATGAAGCTTGACGCTTTCCCGCTTGCAAGAGCCGAACATCCCAACCAGCGTGTCCGAGAACGATGGTCGAAGGGAAAGATCTTGCAATCGTGAATATCAGGCCAGCCCGAACTTTTCATTGCAGCGGGAGTCGTGCGTGTGTCAAGATAGCAAGGCTCTGTGAGGCCTGAGGTTCGTAATCCGTTGCGGTCAAGAACAACGGCATGCAACGTTCTCATTCACGTCGACGCAGATTAGCGCCCGTGCGGAATGAATGCGGTGGCGCCACTCGTGCCTCCGTGCTGCCGTTGTAACTCCTTGATTGCCTTCTTGCGACTGCACAACTCCCACCTTATCTATTCGTTACTGCCGGAATGACCTTGTCGAGCAGGTTCTCTCGTCTCAGGTTCAATTTTCGGAACATCAGATGACGATAAGGCCTTGTCGATGTCTTTAGGTGCGTTCAGCGCTCTATCCATGGCCACCTTGCCGTAGCTCACGTTCATCCTTCAGGCTCGCTTCTATTCCATTTGCTACGGCTAGACCCATACAGGTGGTCTCACCCCATTATACGCGTCCAGCAAGATGTTCGCAATCGTGAGGACACCTTGGAAGTTGGGATCGCTGAAGATGCAACCAAGAGGGGTTGTTGTTGTATCCGTCCAGTTGAACCACCAACCTTCCAAGCACTATATTGATGTTAGCTCAGGATCTGCCTCTGTGCACAAGATCAGGATCCATACAACGACGTGTTCACGAAACCGACGATAGGGCCAAGGACATCCAATCATCACCGGTTATCTGACTACGCTTTGAACATGCCGGTCAATCCAGAGCACCTTTCAACATCCCTTCTAGACGACATGGTCCCGCGTGGCTTCCTGGCGAGTTCTAGTCCCCTCCACTTGAGGCCGCAGAACGCGTGGGCTAACGCGTTCGCACAGATGCCGCCCGCGCGCGCCGATGGATCTTCTTCTTCGCAGACTACCGCCTCCGGTGGTGGCCTGTGCCGGATACGATGAGCTCGCCAACATTCGCATTCTCTCGTCCTTCCTCGCCTCCAAGGCCTTCCGCCCGACGGGTCTCAGATCCTTCGGCGCCACCCTCCTTTCCAACGGCTCCGCATGTAGCGTCGTCGAGATTGCACGCCTTGCCCAAACCGAAATCGGTCTCTATGATGTGCTCGACCAATCCTATATGCGCCCGCACCCCACGACCCCCGCTTTTTCACGGCTTCCGCGCGTTAATCCCCCAGCTCGGGGAGCTTCTCCACCACCGTCGGTTGGTTCGCCAGTGCGTCCCGGCGCTAGACCGCGCCGATGGACGCTAGGTGTGCTCAAGTTGCGCGGGATGCACGAGGGCGACATCCCGGACTACTTTGCCAGCCAGTATCAAGTGCGAATCTCGGCGCACTTCCTCTTTGAAGCGCGAGCCGACGTGCTAGAAGAACATGACCATGTGCTGTTCCCGCCACTGTACGCACGCGAGGTTACAACCCGCGATCTTGGTGCACGGGACGGCGGACACCGCCGTCGTCGTCCCCGCGACGCCCTGGAGCACGAACCACGTCGTCGCGACAACTCGCCTTTCAATTCACCAAGCGACCCTTCTTCGCCATCGCCATCGCCACCTGAAAATCGTGAAGGCCTTAGCGTATTGTACGTGTCTTATCCTCCCACAACGTGCATCACAACGACCAATGGCCAAGAAGCTCATCCAACTGCACTTCCACGCTGTTGCTTCATGCTATCCGTGTCGACCCACCATGTATGGTATATTGATATTTAAGATTGAGAAGAGATACAGTGAACACAGGCCATAGCTACATTGTATGGATTGCATGTCGTAAATGTTGAATCGGATATATAATCGTGATAGTCATCCAACCAGCCCTGCGCAAAGGCCCCATAGTATATCCCTACTAGTAAACAGTGTCCATTACCCCAGGGCCGCTTTATGCTGTCACGGTGATCGTCTTCTCGGGACTCAGCCCGTTCCCATTGAGGTTCGTAAGGTTGGTCGGCGGAGGGAGGAAAACCTGACGAACGACGTTAGTGAAGGTCCTATTAGAAAGGTGGATTATCTGATAACGTACCCTCGTCTTGATACCTCCGGCGGCGGGCAAACGGGTGTTCGAGCCCATGAGCCACGAGTCGACCTCGGCGGCGGCGGCGCGACCCTCCTGGATACCCCACACGATCAAGGATTGGCCGCGGCGGCAGTCGCCCGCGGCGAACACGCCGTCAACATTGGTCGAGTATTTCTGGGGGAAAATGTCAGTTCATAGGTCGAAACGAAGGATGTGCTCGCGGACGGACCTTGTGCGGAGTCTTGATGTTGCTCCTGGCATCCTGCTCGATGCCAAGACCCTTGATTACCTCGTTCTCTGGGCCTAAGAAACCAAGCGCAAGGAATACGAGCTGAGCAGGATAGAACTTCTCCGAGCCGGGCACCTCCTCCATCTTCCACCGCCCGCCCGAATCCTTCGTCCATTCGACGCGCACGGTGTTGAGGCCCGCGAGTTTGCCGTCTTCGTCAACGACAAAGTCCTTCGTCGAGATGCAGAATTCGCGAGGATCATTCCCGAAGTGTGCCGCGACCTCGGTGTGGCCATAGTCGGTGCGGAAGATGCGCGGCCACTGCGGCCATGGGTTGTCACGCCCGCGCGACGCCGGCGGCTTCGGCAGCAGCTCGAAGTTGGTCACCGACTTCGCACCGTGCCGCATCGCGGTCCCGATACAGTCGTTACCCGTGTCACCACCGCCAATAACGATGACATCCTTGCCCCGCGCGTCGATGTATTGCCCATCCTCGTGCTGCGAATCCAGCAGCGACTTCGTGTTGAGCTGCAGATACTCCATGGCGAAGTGGATGCCATCTGCATCGCGACCCGGGATCTTGAGGTCGCGCGGCCATGTTGCGCCCGTGCAGATGATGACGGCGTCGTGTTCAGCACGGATATCCTCAACGCTGACGTCCTTGCCCACATGGGTGTTGGGAACGAAGTTCTGTTGTAACGTGAGAAGGATGCAACAGGAGCAACGGGTGAGCGACGTACGACTCCCTCAGCAGCCATGAGGTCAATACGACGTTGAACGACCTTCTCTTTGTCAAGCTTCATGCTGAATAACAATGTACGTCAGAATGCGTACCAGAGGCGAAAGACCGTGAAACACTTACTTGGGGATGCCGTACATGAGAAGACCGCCCATACGGTCGTTGCGATCAAAGACAGTCACCCAGTGACCAGCCTTGTTCAGCTGGTCAGCTGCGGCGAGACCAGACGGTCCGGAGCCGATGATGGCAACTTTCTTTCCAGTCCTCGTCTTGGGCGGGTTCGGCTGCATCCAACCCATTTCGAAGCCCTAGATAGACAAGGTACGATGAGAGCGTGTATGCGCATAGGGATCGTGGGACACACCTTGTCGATGATGGCGCATTCAATGCTCTTGATGCCGACCGGCTGCTCGTTGATACCCAGCACGCAGGCACCCTCGCAGGGAGCAGGGCAGACACGACCGGTGAACTCAGGGAAATTGTTCGTCATGAGCAATCTATTGAGCGCATCATGCCACTGGCCCTTGAACACGAGATCATTCCACTTGGGGATGATGTTCGAAATCGGGCATCCAGTATCGGACTGACAGAACGGCACACCACAGTCCATGCACCGCGCCGACTGGTACTTCAGTTCCGTCTCGGTGAGACGTGTGGAGAGCTCCTTCCAGTCCTTGACACGCTTGCGAGGAGGCCGGTACGCCTCGCCAAGGCGTTTGTACTTCATGAATCCGCGAGTCTTGTCAAGCTTGTGCTGCCGCGACTTGGCCGTGGAGTCGTCCACTAGAGAATCCTCCAAGTCACCGACGGATGGTTCATGGCGACCAAGAGGAGGGCGCACGGAAGCGGCAGAGATGGTTCTCGAGAGAGGTTCCTTGGGCGTCAGCACCTCCAACATTTCCTCGGATGCAAGGTTGACCTGGCTCTGAGTACGAGATGGGACGAGATCGACGCCGCTCCTCCTCATCTTCTCCTCCTTGATCTTTGCTGCCTGCTCCTCTAGCACCCGCTTGTAATCAAGGGGCATCACGCGAACGAACATAGCGACGAGGTGGTGGAAGTCCTGCAGAACGCGGTTTGCTACCTCGGAGCCAGTGTAATGACGGTGGTCTTCGATAAGACCACGAAGTTCCGCAATCTCCTTCGGGTCGGTCACCTTTCCCAGCTCGACCATCTCCATGTTCACCTTTGAGGGGAAGGTATGCGCCATGTCGAGAACGTAGGCGATTCCACCGCTCATACCGGCCGCGAAGTTCCGCCCAGTTGTTCCAAGGACGACTACACGACCGCCCGTCATATACTCGCAGCCATGGTCACCCGTACCCTCGACAACCGCGTTCGCGCCGGAGTTGCGGACAGCGAAACGTTCCGCAGCGACTCCACGGATGAAGGCTTCGCCGGAGGTTGCACCATACAAGCAGACGTTGCCAATGATGATGTTTTCCTCGGCCTTGAACGTAGATTGCTTAGGAGGATAGATGACAAGGCGGCCACCGGATAAGCCCTTGCCAACGTAGTCGTTGGCGTCACCCTCAAGTTCGATGGTGATACCAGGGGCAAGGAAGGCACCCAGCGACTGGCCCGCAGATCCGATCATATTGATATGAATCGTATCCTTCGGAAGACCGTCCTCGCCGTACAGCTTCGAGACACGGTACGACAGAGAGGTGCCGAGAGCACGGTCGGTGTTGGTGACCTCGCAGTCGATGTGCACCGGCAAGCCCTTGGTCAACGCAGGCTCGGCTTCATCGATGAATTTGTTGTCAAGACGAATGTAGAGCTTGTGGTCCTGGCGGCGAACACGGTACGTCGCGGCGCCGGGGCGCATCTGCCATGCGGGCTTCAAAATAGCTGAGAGGTCGAGATGAGCCGTCTTGATCGTCCGGAGCTTCTCGTTAACCTTTAACATATCGGCGCGGCCGACCATCTCATTGATGGTACGGAATCCGAGCTTCGCCATGTGGCTGCGGAGGTCCTCGGCAAGGTAGTAGAAGAAGTTGATGACTTGTGCGGGCTGGCCAGCGAACTTGGCACGGAGCTGAGGATCCTGTGTGGCGATTCCGACCGGGCAAGTATTCACTGATCATAACCAGTCAGGGTTTTCCTGTCAAGCATAGAACTCGTACTTACAATGGCATTTCCTCATCATGATGCAACCCATCGCGATGAGCGGCGTGGTGGCGAAGCCCCATTCCTCAGCTCCAAGCAAACAGGCGATGGCGATATCACGACCTGTCCGAATTTGGCCATCGGTCTGTACGGTCACACGTCCACGGAGGTCGTTAAGGACGAGCGTCTGGTGCGTCTCGGCGAGACCCAATTCCCAAGGAAGCCCAGCATGCTTGATACCGGTCCAGCGTGACGCGCCGGTACCACCGTCATGGCCAGAAATGAGGATGTGATCCGCTTTCGCCTTCGCGACGCCACTGGCAACAATGCCCACGCCGACCTCGGAGACGAGCTTGACTGACACACGAGACCGCGGGTTGGAACACTTCAGGTCGTAGATGAGCTGCTTGAGGTCCTCAATGGAGTAGATGTCGTGATGCGGCGGCGGAGAGATGAGCCCAACTCCGGCGGTGGAGTGACGAGTACGCGCGATCGACGTCGAGACTTTGTGTCCAGGAAGTTCACCTCCTTCACCAGGCTTCGCGCCCTGGGCCATTTTGATTTGAAGCTCGTCCGCGTCTGACAGGTAGTTAGACGTGACACCGAACCGGCCAGAGGCAACCTGCTTGATAGCGGAGCGCATAGTGTCACCGTTAGGGAGCACGTTCGACCGCTCGGCGTCTTCTCCTCCTTCACCGGTGTTGGACTTGCCTCCGAGGCGGTTCATGGCGATCGCAAGGGTAGAATGAGCCTCCATGGAGATGGAGCCGTACGACATAGCACCGGTAACGAAGCGTCGAACGATCTCATTCCACGGCTCGACCTGCTCGATCGGAATCGGGGTGGCGTTCTCGAAACGGAAGTCCAGAAGGCCGCGAAGATGGATTCGCTTCGTCTGCTCGTTCGCGTTCGCGGCGTAGGCATCGTACGCAGTCTGGTTCTTCTCTCGCACGGCGTCCTGCAGGTTGGCGATGCCAGTGGGATCGTTGATGTGCGCTTCACCCCCGTCGCGCCAGTGGTACTCTCCGGATTCTGGCATGCCGGGCGGAAGAACCGTCTCTCGCGTGGGCCAGCCGCGTTCGTGCATTTCGAACGCATCCATAGCGAGGAGGTCGAAAGTCGCCCCTTGGACGCGGGTGGCTGTGCCAGCGAAGCACCGGTCGACGACCTCAGTGTGCAGGCCGAGAGCCTCGAAGATCTGGGCACCCTTGTACGACTGTAGCGTGGAGATGCCCATCTTGGACATAACCTTCAGGATACCGCCGTCGATCGACTTGCGATAATTCTTGCTCAGCTCGTCGGCGGACTCGCCGTTCTTCGATCTTAGGGCAAGGGCGTGAGCAATAGTCGAGATGAAACATGTAAACCACTCACAATCCCTCACGAGCCACCTTATGGATAACTTCCATCGCCAACCACGGGCAGATCGCATCGGCGCCGTAGCCAACAAGAACGCACATATGGTGCACTTCGCGAGCTTCTCCAGTCTCAACGAGCAGGGCGACCTTCGACCGCTTCTTCTGCGTGACAAGGTGGTGGTGGACGCCTCCGCAAGCGATGAGGGCAGAAAGGGCGACACGATCCGAACCGATCGCACGATCAGAAAGAATGATGACCTTGACGCCGTCTTCAATAGCCTGCGACGCCTCGCTGCATACGCGATCCAAGGCAAGCTGGTATCCAGGAAGGCCCTGCTCCTTCGGGAAAGTGACGTCGATGACGCGAGAAGGCCAAGTGCTGTACGCAGCCTTCAGGTTCTTCATGGCGTTCATTTCCTCGAGAGAGATCACGGGAGAGGGGAGTAGGATGCGGTGACACTGCTCCTTCTTCATCTCGAGGAGGTTGCCTTCGGGACCGATGTAAGACTCGAGCGACATGACAATGTTCTCGCGAATCGGGTCAATCGGAGGATTCGTCACTTGCGCGAACAGTTGGCAGAAGTAGTCGTAGACGAGGCGTGGCTGGGTCGCCATGCACGCAAGAGGGGCATCGTTGCCCATGGAGCCGAGCGCTTCCTTGCCGTCAGTGATCATGGGGAGCATGAGCAGATTGAGCTGCTCGACGGAGTAGCCGAACGCAAGGAGCTTGGGGTCCGTGCTCAATGTGAACTCGTCAACCTTGACTTGGATGGGTTGGGATCGGTGAACGCGCTTGATGATGTTCGGGATCGTGAGCACCTGATTCTCTATCCACGACGCGAAGTTCTGCTTCTTGGAGGTAGTGCGTTTCAGCTCTTTATCGTCAACGATCCGTCCCTCGAGGGTGTCGACAAGGAGCATGCGGCCGGGCTTCAGACGACCCTTCTGCACGACTTTCTCCGGGGAAATGAAGACGGCGCCGACTTCGGACGCGCAGATCATTATATCTTCGTTCGTGACCACAAAACGACAAGGCCGGAGGCCATTGCGATCAAGGTTTGCGCCGCAATAGCGACCGTCACTGAACGCGAAGAGAGCGGGACCGTCCCACGGCTCCTGCAAGCACGCCGCCCAGTTGTAGAACGCCCTCTTCTCTGAATCCATGCTCTCGTTCCCCTGCCACGCCTCCGGGATCAACATCATGATAGCCTCCGGCAGTGTGAGGACGCCATTGACAACGAGCAGCTCGAGGACGTTGTCGAACGCAGCAGAATCGGAGCCGCCAGACTCGATGATGGGGTACAGGAGATCGAGCTGATCACCGAAGAGGGAGGAGGTCAAAACGCCTTCACGAGCGCGCATCCAGTTCTTGTTTCCGCGTACAGTGTTGATCTCGCCTGTGGATCAGTTTCAGTATCAATTACAGGAATAGACCTCTTCGGCAAGAAGCGCGAGGATTTACCATTGTGGGCGGCCAAACGGAAGGGCTGTGCACGATCCCAAGAAGGGAAGGTATTCGTCGAAAATCGCGAATGAACGAGGGTGAAGTGCGAGCGATACAGGACATGGTTCAAATCGTGATAGTAGTTGTAGACTTGCGGTGGCGATAGCTGACCCTTGTAGACGATATTCTTCGAAGACAGCGAACACACGTAGAAACCTTTGGCAAGCGAACTTGAAACGGGAAATCACACAAGTAAGACGCGCTGATGATAGAGTCGAAAGAACAGGATGACAAACATGGTATGAGTCGCATGCTTTCTCAATACGTAGAGTTGACGCTCGAAGTGCTTGGTGTCGAATTGCCCGCCTTGGCTGGTGCTTCCATCGCCGTAGTGAGAGCGCAGGACGATAAATGGCTGCAGGATAACCGGTTCCTTGCTGCTCGCGGCCGGACCTAGAATCGTGCCGTCGGTGGGAACCTCGCGCCAGCCAAGCACACGCAGTCCCAGGTCCTTCGCCAGACGTGTGAAGATGGCTTGCTGTTTTTGCAGCTCGACTGGGTCACTGGGCTTGAAGAAAACGTTTCCGACTGCGTACTCTCCGGGCTCAGGTAACGCACACCCCAGATCCCTCTCCGCCTCGCGCTTGAAGAGCTCATGCGGGATCGCCGTCATAACTCCCGCCCCATCGCCATCCCTGCTATCAGCGCCCGTAGCTCCCCGATGGGTCATGGCGCAGAGAAGCTGGCGCGCATCGGAGACGATTTTGTGGTTGGCTTGTCCCTTAATGTGGCAGATAAAGCCTACGCCGCACGCATCTTTCTCGAGGTCGTTGATGTAAAGGCCCTGTGAGGCGGGTAGGGCTCCAGACCACGACTCGGGATCGCGCTGAACAGCGTCGAAGCTCTCGATGAAAGAACTCTCCGCGATCTCAGGGACAAGCGGGATATTTGCGTCTGCTGGGAGTACTTCGTCGCAGAGACGAGCGGGGGCCATGCTACTGGCAAATGGCAAAGTATAGGATAGACGACGACTGCGTATGACTATCGGGGAGGGCTCGATGCGGACGATGAAGGAGGTGGAGGAGGCGATGGTCAAAGGTCAACCCGAAGCCAAAACTTTACATGGACAAGAGGTATGGAGCAATCGGGAATCCGCGTCATGTGAGGATATATTATCGGCCGGTCTTCTCCGCCTACTTCCGGTCCCCGAAGGCCGACCAGCCAATGGGGAGGCGTCGTTTTGAGCTTCCGGAAGTCGAGTCGAGTCAATGCACATCCTCCGATTGGCCGCTGTCCCGCCGGCCCCGCATATCAAGTGCCTGAGGCCGAGAGATAACTCTGTGCGGGAATTTGGCAGAACATTCAACATAGCCTGCTGCTCACGTTCACCCCTCTGGCTCTTGCATTGAACTCTGACCAAGCAACGTCGCAACTCGTTGCTGAAATATTCATTATGAACTAATAATCTCAAAGCTGATCTTCCTGGCCACCGTGACCGTACGGCGCGTCTCCAGGAGGTGTTTCAAGAGTATGTACAATCCCAAGCACGTTACGTCAAGCTGTTTCATTGTTTGGATCGAGGTTTTTTAATCACTGTTGCGAGAGGAGTTTGTATTGCTCGTGTGCGAAGGTCGTCAGTGTAAGCAGAACAAGAGCCCACCCGAAATTTCTGAAGTTAGTCCCAGCGCCACACAACTTGCAAGGCATTCCATCGCCTCGCAGCTGCAACACTGTCACTGGTCCGATCGACAGACGCCAACGCGCTCCTCAACTTTCCAGTCATGCTCGAATTCACCGTCCATTATTCTTGCCTCGACCTGACGGTTTATTGGATCAAAATCGACGACGTACTTTATGGTCTTACCGAGCGACTAGCGGCCCCTCTGATATTCCTCCGTTCTTGCACGAACGACGCATCCTCGCCAACTTGGAGATTAACCATGGAGCTGCCCTTGCGTGGGTTCTAGTCACGAGGCATGACCAGCGTGACACGGCGACCTGGGGGTGTTCTAGATTTGCGGTCAGAGGTAGTTGCGCCACTGACGGCCTTTGCAAGGCGCTGGCAGCACTTGCGGGTTCCATGGCGCCGTACATGTCGACCCATTGGCAACATTAAACCACCAGCGGCCCCAGTGTCGTGGAGTGAAACCAGATTGATACGGTCTACGCGCGCGGTGAGGTTGCCACGTCGATGCACGCTGTTCGAGGCTGCAACGTTGATTTACTCAAGAATCCTTTCTTTCATAATCTCCCCGATCCAGGCTGGCTTCCTTCCCACCAGGTCACCAGATAAGGGTGTGCGCTGCGGACTCCGGTTTCAGAGCAATCTACGCGGTTATTATATGTGATAGTCAAGCGCGGACGTACACCACAGACGACACCCTGATTCGCAAGCCCTCGGCTTCAATCGCGGGTCTCACTCGCGCTGCATAGCACAAGGTTAAGTAACTCATGATGACTTGCAGATGGTCCCTTCATTGTGAATGAAATAAACTAATAGTCCTCGGTGAGGCTGCATCGATGTCTGGATAATCCCCTTCTTTGGTAGCCCACAATCCGGATTAACCTATATCCCATCAGAAGTGCGCACCACGGGTTGATTTCAAGGTCCCTACTCACGCTGCGTAAAATTAGGCGTCCGCCGCGAGAACACAGGCTCCTATCGAGCGCCACAAACGACCCCGACTCGTTTGCAACGCGCAGGCTTTCATTGCGGGTCTCAGTCGCGCAGCACAGGAAGCTCACGCCATTATATCCAACCGAGTGCACCATGGTTGGTGTGAGTAACGAGATGGGAAAGGATTCATACGGGCTTCGGTGAGAGTTTATCGAAGCCCGCTGTTCGAGACCGTAACGCTAGTTTACTCAATAACCCCCCTTCCTTCATAGGCTACGAACCTCGTTCCTACCAGGTAAGCCAGATTTAAGGTCCGTAGACAACTTCGTATAGCAGCTTGCAGTCGAGCGCCGCACGAACATACCCACCCGCTAACCGAACCAGGGTTCGCTTTTGATACTTCGAGTGCTTGGTCGCCGGTGCTCATCTTCTGCGCAAGTCGAGATCGTCTTCACGATAGAGTGCTACATCGCCCAGGCCCTTGTCATTATCAGCGTTCAACACAGATCTCTCCATCTAGCTTTAATTATGATCGAAGTCTTGTCATGAAATAGTTTTTATGTAAATTTTCAGCAACGCTCAGAGACGTCATAAGAGCACCAATGTAGGGGGTCGTAGGGCCGCTCGCCGATACTCGCCATGGATCAACCGTGAATGGTGCTTGGTGATGATGGCGGATTGACGGTCTGATCTGCTGTTCCGCGGGCGATCTCATCTCCGAAACATAACATAGCCGTGAAATGTGGCCACCTTACCTCGTACTAAATAAGTAAGACTGTTCGCCTGCCAGATGCGGCCGCCCGCAGGTAGCAGCACAGCGAAGCAAATACATCCGTCACTTTACGCTTTCGCAAGCATGTACCCGGTTCGGCGCCTTTCAGCCAGACAAGGTTGGACACACGAAGCCGATGGACGTGTACTGAAACCATGTCGCGAAGCGCGAATTTTGCGCGTCCCTGGCTATAGCTGACCGACGCCTCATCCTTCAAATGGGGTGTTTGAAATGCGTTAAGGCGCCGCATCCTAGCCCTCAGAATGGTCGGACCCGGAGTAGGACACTCTATCTCAAGGAAGTATCTCACGTCGGACCTGACTTCCTCCAGAGTCACGCGAGGCAGAAGCGTGCCCTCGACGGTCAGCGCCTCATGTCCGCTGTCCATACCCAGGAAAAATTCAGGGTTGTATCAGGAAGTCACGCTCACCAGATGCATCTCACACAACGAGTCCTTGCGAATCCTCAGCGGCACTGCTCTACCCTACTTCCCGCCACCCGCACTGGGTGGCGGATCCGAGCAGCGTGCGTTTCGGCCGCAGTGCAACGCCCCATGCCGTCAATCTGTGGCTGCCAGCTTCGAACGAGGCCCAGACTGCTCTGGACAATCACAACACGAGGTTAGGTCGTGTCCAATGGGATCGCTGACAGCTGCGAGACATGGAGGCAGCACAGCAGGAAGGAGAGCAGACCAATAGCAGGCGAATACGCAAATCATGGACTGCATCCCATCCGCGGCGACATACGTTCTTCGGGGGCGCGTCGGAGCAACAGGTGAACAGCCTCCGACGATATGATACGATAAAGACAAGAGAACCTGAACAGACTGTGGCCAAGGCGGGTCAACGAGCGATCGCACAGTGGGTCAAAACGAAGGAGAGAATGTACCTATGTTAGGCGGCTCCGTCATGAAGAGCGCAGCACACGGCAGCTGCGGTCCATATTACTCCCGCGAATAATCTGCGATCGCACGATGAACACGTACCTTTATGGTGTCCGTTGTACTGTCGCACTGTCTCTCCCGACGCCATTTCCCACAGACGCGCCGTATGGTCGGATGAGGCTGGTGAATATCGACAGATTAATGAGGATGACGACGCGAAAGCCCCGGAAAACTAACCCGTGACGAGATAAGCCGAGTCAGCGCTGAAGGCACAGTCCCAGACCCAGCGCTGATGACCTTGGAGGACCTTTTCCAATCGAAAGTCCAATGATGCTGATATGGACCATATCTTGACCGTCGTGTCCGCCGAACAAGTAGCGAGATACCTGGAAACGAATGAGCAAATTAGGATGCATCCGCGTTGTGGACAGTTTGGAACTCACTTCATGTCGGGGCTGAGCAAACAGCGAGTCAGGTATTTGTTGTGAGCTTGGAATTTGGTAACAGCCTGGAAGCGCGGCAGGCCCGAACTTTCATCGTTGATTCTCCAAACATAGCACTTCCCCTGAAAGGAGATCAGACGATCTGCGTCCCTGCTTTCAAAGCCGCAAATCTACCTTGTTATTGCCGGCTACCAAACACGAACCGTCTGTCGCGACGGTCACTGATCTAATAGGTATGTCCCCGGCCGGCGTCTTGAAGGTGTTAGGCTAGCGGAAGCGCAGATTGCATCGGGCCCACGTACGAGTTCATGGGTACAGATATTGTCCGAAAGATCCCATTGCTTGATACTTCCCGCCTGATCGCAGGATATCAGTTCGCCCTGATTCGGATGGACGCACACATCGTTCACTGGGGTTCCTGTATCAGTAGATGATCCCGTTTCGATGGAAGCATTGAGCAACCACCTGGTGCACCGTTGTCATAATGTCGGTGGAGGTGGTTGCTTCTGTTAACGACCCGTATGAAGTTTACGTAGAGGAACGGTGCGTGTATGGGAACAAACCTGAGGTCCCAGATCTTTATGGTACCGTCTTCGCTTCCGGTCACCAGCCACTTCCCTTCGGCATGGAACGATACCGAGGTGACGTTGCCGGTATGTCCCTCGAACGTAGTGAGCTAGGGGACAGAAGTTTCGGGCATGGTTGCGGATACATAACAGAAGTACCAACCGGTGTAGAAGAGGCGCTGGCGATTTCGTAGATGTTGATCTTCTTATGGATCGCGGCAGCAAGTAGCCGCTTGCTGCAGTTTCCCATGGGCATCCGGTAGGACGGATCAACAGAGGAGCACTCACTCGGGAGAGATCGCCAGGCGATTCACTTGCTATTCGTGAAAACATAGCCATACCATGTGAGCGCTCGGCCTATCATGTAAAATAGGGTGGCCTCACTCCAGACTCTCCGGAACGAGCGATTGTTCTGGAGCAGATCCCACTCCAGGCTTCCCAGAACCGTATTTCGTGATCATAAGAGCCTGAGTCCCGTTATTGGTTCATCTAGATAGATAAATGGCGCATAAGATCTTACCAGTCACTAGGATGACGGACATAAGCGTTAAATCCTATGCGAGAGTAGAATCGGTGCAGCGGGAGTCAGAGAAACACAAGATGTCATAGCTTGAGCTGTCGTGTTACCCACGATCAGCGTGACGCGTCTGCCTTCGTCTGCCTCGCCTTGAGCTTGATTTCGATTCACCGTCTCGGGTTCGAGGAAATGAACATGCAGGGGCGCCCCGCGGACATCTCGCAAACTCCACCGCCACTGGCTCGTTGCTTGTTACGTATACTCACAAGCACTCGGCATCGCAGTCTGCGGCCAGTAGCTCGGACAACAACCTCGCCCAGTGCGCACGTGTCGACATGATACTCCGAGTCTTTCGTTCTGGACTGCCCTGCTCGGGAGTGCGAGGACACAATGTTCGTTCACAGGTTCATGAATCTCTCCACCTGGCCTACGTGCCGTCGGCTTGTCTATACCCCTGCGCTGAGGACGCCTCAGTGGTGGATCTCACCTCTTCGCGGAGCGGGAGGGCTTGACGGGAGAGAACACGTCCTCACTATACGTTGGTGTACTGGGCCTCGCCACAACGATGACTTATTAACAGCCTGAAGAAGTCAAAGATCCACGCTCATGATATGGCCTCTGTGCACATTACAATTTCGATCAACATTTACTCATTACTCGTCAACCTTTCGGCCGTACGCTCTCCGGTATTTATAGCAGCGCAGGCTCTCTTCATCGCTACTCTCGTCTCCAGTGGTGCATATATCAGACCTAAGACCGCGAGCCCAAACATTCCACCTTGTTCCCAATACCTATCTCGGCTATGATGGACAACGCTTTCCCCGTGAGCGCGGTTTTCACCTTGAATATCTGCCAGACTAACAGAACTATTGTAGCCGGGGACGCGGGTCTTCTTTTGGGACGGGTCCGGCACCGTCAAGCATGGCGTTGTTCTCGCAACTGCTCGCTTAGGCGACGTGCGTATCTTCCCCATCGATAGGGGCTTCGGCAAGGCTCACCTTTCGTTTGTACAGGGTACTCAGGTTGCACAGGTCCAGGTCGAAGGGGAAACGGCGCTAGTGAGCCTCCCGTGCGTACCCTCACTTTTGATCGTTTGCCAATAGAAACTCACTCGTTGGCTCTAGGACGGCCAGCCTGAGCAAGGCTTAGGTGTCCGGTTTCGCAAAGTGTGATGATTTTTTGTTCTCAAGCTCGTGTTTGTTTGTGTCGCATTCCTTTACCCCCGTTGGACTTTCGCGTGCGGATTCTGTAGCATACATCTGACCCTGTACAAGCGCCAAGCGAGGTCAACATGGACGGGACTTCGCTGGTTAGCTAATGTAGCTATATAGAACACAGTGCACGTCATCGATCTTTGAACCATTCGCATGTGATGGAGAGTCGTGGACACGAAAATTGTGGACACGAAGAAGCTATCAAAATTTTGAATGCTCGGCGGCAGTTGTTCTTGCCAAAAGTCAAGCGCTAGATTCGAGGCTATTACGATATGGACAGTCGCTATCGATGACGCCCATACTTATGATATGGTAGCGAATCTCAGGCCCATGAATCGTGAACCCAAGGAAGTGGGGTCTACTCGCACAAAGTCCGCGATAGCGGTAATATCGCAAACATGGGCGCTCTGTTATGGAATGACTTGTCCTGTCCTCACGTACGTGAGCGCTATGCCGATGGACTCAACTTCGAATCATCTGGAAGCGAGGGATCGAATCGTGTGAGGGCAAATATGGTCATGGTAACGCTATTCCGAGACTAAGACTCGACTGCGGACGCACTGGTGTGCAAGTCATTGCGAAGGTCGCATCTGGGCACGAATCTCCTTCTGTATACCTGTATACGACATGAACGTGTTCCATGGTGCTTTTAAGGCCACACACACGCTATTGGAACTGCCCATCACGTCACTCTACGCGGTCGCCGTGGATGATAGAGGCTGAGTATACAGTGAAAATGAGGGTTTCGATGGGTTCAACGTAGGACGGGGGCATAGCAGCATGCATCTGAGACTACCAGCTGAGATAGAAACACGTCACAGTGAGATTATTCCTGCGTGCAAAGCAGGATCGAAGTTACCGTTCCGCTAGTCTCACTCTGTCTGGGGATGAGCGCCCCGAGAATAGCATAGGTAGCCGCCATGATCTTATCAGAGCGATTTGATCACCCAAGCCGCGCCATACGGTAGCAGCCAGCAGAGGCGATCAAGTTTCCAACACAGTTTGCGGTCCTCCGCGCACTCGAGTTGCCATGAGAAGATAGTGGTGCAAGTGCAAGCTCGAGTTCAACAGCGGCTGAAGCGCTAAAGGTTAACGCGTGGCTTCCACGTGGCCCGCCTCGTCCCTGATTAGGACGCCTTCGGAACCTTGCCCTGAGAGCGCGGCCATGATCAATCGTTCGCTATTCTGGCGGAAGCCACGAGCACTGACCGCTGGAGCTGGTAGCTGCCGGACTACGGCGGATCTTGCACTCTGGATACATGAGATATCACGACATCAACGGCAACGTCAGTCAAGCATCGATAGAATACGCCAGGACTCAAGTTTACTAGCTTGTGGAGCATATGTTGGCTTGCGGCGCGTACACCGACATATCTCGATGAAATATCTGCGAGGATCAGAAATAGCTGTGATGGGGATCCGCCGGTTAGCGTGTTTGATATTAGATTACGTCCGATTCTGGAGCATACTCCTCAATACATGCTCGTGGACCGCGGCCGAAATTGCCTGCACATTGGCTGGCTACGACCGACACATTGATCCGAGATGCTCCGCTGTTGTCGTCGTGGGCAACGAGACTTGTACGTAACACTGTCATAGTGCAAACAAACACTTAGTTCACATTCCGTAGGCGATTCGGAGGTGATATTGAAACTGGCCAAGGCCGGTTACACCGTCTTCGTCGATGGCGATGTAGGCTTGGCTACAAGCGCGTCGGCACACGATGCGGACACGCTTCAATATCCAGGGATATCGTCCGTGAGTTGAAATCATGACGTCCCATTCATCACTGTCGAATTGGCAACCGCTTTCAGCTGTTACACCGGTGGCATAGCACAAAGGCCACGTCTAGGCACAAGACGAAAGGATCAGGTCAAGTCATCCCACTCGGACCACGAACAGGTGTAGACGCTACGAGACAATTCTCTCGTGATACTGTGCGGGCTTACTGCGACAACCATAAGCCCGTTCTTCAGCTATTGGCGCTGATCATACTCCCGCGGTAGGTTATATGTTACATAGCTTCTTGCAATCTCCTGGCTTGTCGGAGCTCATACGCTATTAGCACGGACATGTTGGATCATAAATTTCCGCCCGAATCAACGTTTCTATCTACATCTCCTGGATCCCTGGCCGAGGCGATCACAGAACACCTGGTTTCCCTTAGCTCAGCTCGGGATTACGTTGGACTGCTGCAGAAAGGCACCGGACGAATCGTCATCCTCATAAACTCTACTCACAACGATTCCCTCCGTGAGTGCAATCACAGCAGCTTAACACCTTGAGGTCATCACCGACGATGCCGCTTCTGCTAGCTTCCTGTGTTTCCAGTCTCTGTTATGAGACTCAACTTGCGGCCATCCGTGTAATGAGCCAAGAACTCAGGTTGCAGGGCATCCACGTATGCCAAATCCTTGCTTCGCTAGGTAGCATGCCTACTGGACAAGTCCTGGGGTACGGCTATGAACGTCATCTCAACGTCAGACCCTTAACCAGCAGCAGGATCTCGGCTCTCAGCCATCGGTTCGGAAACGGTATCGATCAACCCTCAAACGTTGTTATGGGAAAGTTGAACGAACTCTATTCCATCGCTCGTGACGACGCGTTATGCCTGGTTCAGCAAATGATCGAATGCAGGTAAGTTGCTTATCCTGGTCATCGTCGAATGCGATGACATAGATATCGAAACCAAGATACGCGCACCGCACAGTCAGCATTGGGGTGCATCCGCTATTCAGAAGGCTTCATTCGGCTGTTCCCAGTGGCGTTCAGAGTCACATTTGGAAATTGCTTACGGGGGAATGAACTACGGTAAATGTAGAGTACTTCGCCCAATCTCGATGGCGTGACGAATCGTCCAACCTTCGTCGCCCGGTATGTAGTGCAACAGACTATAATTCAGCGGAGTGCAGATGAGGGTCGGAATTTGTTGATAATTTATCCTGGATGGCAGCAGGTGAGTCAGAAGAGTTCCTATCTGCCAATCCAGTACACGAGGCTCACTCTAATCATGATGCTCATGCGTTGTCCATGGGAGGATCGGGTACCTTCTCCAAATATCATTGGTAGGATTGCGTGATTATACCGATAACGGACATGTGGTCCTGCTCGTAAGATAATTCAGACGTCTAGAAAGAGTTAGAGCGATGATGCACTGACCCTGGAGATATACACTCCCGGATGGCAAAGCAACCTGGTAAGCATCGCTAGGATCGTCCACACGTTCCAAACGCAGGGTTCTAGTTGATCCTAAGCTAACGCCAAGTATCCATGAACCACTGGCTTCTACGTTGTCCACATGCGGGAGGATCTCCCCATCAGAGGCTAGATGGAGCAAATGCATCTGCGTATCTGCGCGTAGATATTCGTATTGTCAGTTCATCAGCCCTAAAGTCGTATATTACACACCTGACATCGGGAAAAGCGTCCGCAGTCGGGTGAGCAGAGGGGTAACACCGAGAGCGTCGGCTTCCGGCCACGAAGAAACGTGCATCTCTCGGTAACGTCGAATAACTCGATCAAAGTGACCCTGAGCGTAGGTATTATTTCCGTATTAAGCGCAAATATTGAGGACTATGCATATGTACCTCCTCAAACGGATAGTAAATGTCGGGCGCGAATATGTCCGTGATATCACGCTCTGCAATGTCCGGCGGTTGTGCGAGAGAGATAAATCGCTTGCGTTTCCTCCTTAGAGAAGGAGGGTCCATCGTGTCCAGCTTTTGCAACGACGCTGCTAGGAGCGCCTTCTGTTCTTCCGCCGTGAACACATCACGCGCCAGGGTGAAATCACGAAAGGTTGTAGTATTTGGCTGACTCGAGAGATACCGGACTGATCGAAGAGCGGCGGCAGCCACTGTTGTAGAGCAAACTTTCGTCAGAAAAGACATTCAAAAGCGACAATCGACGACGACACATGAGGGTGACGCTTGCCGACGCGCGACGCGTCGGCCGCCGGCTACAGACACGTGATCACATGCGTCGTCCGCCTCCGCGTCCACTGCCTGGACATGGTGGGCTTTCATGCAGGGACAGGATGCAACTCAGAGCCGAGAGCAGTCCACAAATTCTGTGTATGCGGCACTGGCTAGAACTGCGACTCGAAGCTTAGCTCTCTATTTCTCTCGACCAGTCAGACTCTTTCGACCGTCCAAAGGTTCCTGCAACCTGTCGCTAGTTCTGCTCGGGTCTGGCTTGTCTGATCGTTGGTCGCGCAGTGAACGGATGGCAAACTCTCAGAGCTCAAGCCCTCGCTAGTGGGGTACAGTCCATAACTCCTCAGTATATGCTTTCTCTGGTTAGAAACCACGGCGTGAGGCGAATTATTTTGATCGGTCATGGTCTTGTACTGATATTACATATGTGGTGCCAGCTGATGGTCATCCCAAAGGTAAAAAAAATGCACTAGATAATATGCCGCACGATCGTCTGATTCGATATCTCCAGCATTTTGTACCACCGGTTATAGTGAATGCCGTTCTAGGAACCGTTTTATGGACGACTTATGCGGAATCTACCACTGCCTTGGAGCATCATATCGCCCATCCTCTGTTACTTAGCAGCTGTTCAGGAGCTATAGCAGGCGCTGCTCAAGCTTTGGTGGCTGCTCCAGCGGAGAATGTCCGACTCGTCCTTGAAGGTGGCACCGTCAACCATGGCTGGTCTCATGCGTGGAAGGAAGTCTTCCGCAGGACAGAACCTCAGGCTTCTTCCACGAAGCAGGACAGGATACACGATGCGCGCGAAGTGCGTGTCTGGATGAAGGAGGTAGTAATTCCATGTCGTCGTCCACGAATAGCAGCACCCTCATATATTTTTGGATTTGCCGCAGGTAGGAGAGATGGCAGGGCGGGGCTGGGACGGTTGGGCGTGGGGAACAGTCAAGGATGCGTGTGGTCAGTGAGGCCCGAAACAGCACGTTACGAAGACTGACGATGTCATCCTTAGGCTTCGCGGTGTTCTTCTCTGTATTCGAAGAAACACGACGAGTAGCTGCCCAGGCCCGCCGCTTGGTTCAGGAGGCTTCTCGACATCCCGAAGACCGGGAAGTTCGAAGGACCTTCTTGACACAACATGCCCCGAAACTCACTCATGGGGTGGTCCTGTACGTTGGCGCTCATAAACATCATAACGATGTCGCAGTACTGAATACATTATCAGGGTGACGGGAGGCGTCTTCGCTGGTGTCTCCTATGAGGTGGTGACGCGTCCGTTCGACGTCGCTCGTAGAGCTGCCCAGCTGGCCAAGCTCAGAGCCGTTACCTCCGGTACTCCAATGAAGCACCCTGGTATGGCGGCAGTGCTGCGCAAATTAGAAGATGACGGCATACGGTCGTTCTTTCAGAGCCCTGACTACCCGAAAGCCGTCCACGATGCCAGCGACAGCGTTTCGAGACGCCTACACGCCTGCCTCCGCGTCCTGGCGCGAGTTGGCCCGTGGGGCGTGGGTTTCCTGATATTTGAGGCGTTTGGCCCGGGTTTATCATAACGTACTGTAACAGGTCACGGTGGTGTCATTACAGCGGGTGGTCAGCGGATCGCCTTCCTCTGCGCCGCTGCTCCCTAATCCTCAAGGCGTGCTTGCTTACGGCGATCTTACTCCACACGTCACACCCCATTGAGGGCATCATGCTGCGCATATGCGTGATTGATCGTGCTTAGGTATGAATCAATCCAATCCCTGCTTACGAACTCAACGTTCAGTATCGCGACTGCAAATCGACACGAGAACGGTGATTCGCAGTGAGCACTTATTTTGTCTGCCGTTCATTCTGTTGCCTTCGATGATGATTCCGAAGGCTCATGAACACTGGTGGCCTGTCAGCTTCGCCGTCCCAGCGTTTATAGCTGCGTCCTACGCGTGCATCAGGGTCACTCATCTCGCGTGCATTCTCAGGGCGCTGGGTCCCGAAGAGAGCATCTTTGAGATGTCCTACCACGCCGGTTGTGCTCACGTCGCCCAGTTGATGTGATCGGCACGACTCGATTGTAGAACGGCCTATAACGTGCCATTGCCTCTGACGCGTCTCAGGAAGCAGATTCTGAATTTATCTTGTGCATAAATAGATGCCACAGGTGTGCGCTCGCTCCCTGACGTCTGAATGTCCTGAACCTCCCTCAGTGTCTCCGCCAACGATGCCGATTTCCAAGAAAACTTGACGGACGATATTCGGCACTTACTCTAACCTCTTTGGGAACATATCGTGGAGATGTGCAAAGCAAACGTGTCTTCAACTTTTATCGATCGCTCTTCGCGCTCGAAGGATCCGACATTCCGGCCCATGTTCCGATTTCCCCGGCTGGTATTCGACATACCATTCGAGGGCCCCATATCAATCACGTCTGCTGCGGGGACTTCGCAGAAAGGGAACACAGTGCGCCCACAGCCCCGGATCTGATATGCCATCGCAGAGGAGGGAGTCGTAGCGCGGTGACGGTTCGGTGGCGACACATACGTGAGTTATGAATTCCTGCATCTCCGCGGTGTTTCTCTTCATGTGGTTTGCTTCTCGCAAGGTCGTACACACCCTCAGGGTCGCACCTGACATCGGTACAGAGAGGCTGACGGGGAATCTGGGCTGCAAGGAGGCCCCTGGGAGGTGTGGTGGGCATAGAAGGGACCGTGATCCGAGCTGGGTAGGCTGTGCGTAGGCCAATCATGCCTCGAGGATCGGATGGGTGAGCCGGCGCCGCTCGGACCGTGCGTTACGAGAGCGACGATCTGCTTCTGGACATGAAGGAAGCTAGGAATCTGCGCGGGAGGCTGGCAGAATGAAACACATCGCGACGAGACTCGACTTGAAGCTTACCGATTAACTCCTTGAACGGAGACTTCATTGCGGTCGTACTTAGTAGAGGTGACTGTGACAATCTAGCGTGATCTCGTGTGACGTTCAAGATGGCTGGACAAGTAGCGTCACTAGAACCTTCTACCAGATTCGCTCTTGACCGCTGAATAGATATCGTGCATGTACTCGGATTACGCTTGACTCTGACGACAATTGTACGCGTTTCAACATGGTGCAGTGTCAGAACAGAGGTTGCAACAAGGACTACGATCCAGCAGATGCTCCCGACGAATGCGTGTACCATCCCGGTGCCCCTGTGAGTAACGTCGTAATCGGCGAATGAAGAACGAGCTTGCTGAATTGAAATCAGGTATTTCACGAAGGTGAGGGCAACGATCAAGATGTCTTTAAGCTCTCTCAATCGATCCACGTACCAACTCGAATGAAGGTCTCAAATCGTGGTCGTGCTGCTCGGATGTGAACAAACCGGTGTTGGATTTCGATGACTTCATGAAGATAACGGTACGACGACGTGTGTCATCGTAAGCATTTCAATCACCGATCTTCCAGGGATGTACTCGAGGCAAACATACCGAAGCTAAACCCAAGGAGGACCCTCCCAAGCCTGCGCCGAGTAACAATGCCACCATGACCGGCGCTTCCGACGGCAGCGAGACGTATCAAGTTGCAGCGGCGACAGCGGCGATGGCAAGCACGTCGCTCAACCCGACTGTCTCGACCCCTGCCCCGACCGCACCGCCTGCGCCGGCTCCCGCACCCGTCATAGAGGAGGACGATCTGAGTGCCTCTGTGGCGCCCGGAACCAAGTGCAAGCGTAATGGTTGCTCGATAGTATACGAGGATGACGCTACTCATCGCGTTGGTGATGGTCCTGGAACTGTCTGCAAATTCCACCCAAAAGCGGTATGTCACCAAGCTCACACGACTTTGCATTGTTTACCGAATCTTCAAGCAAGCCCATATTCCATGAAGGCAGCAAGGTAGATCCACCATTGCGAGCACGGAGGGACGGTCACCTCATGCGCAATCACAGGGCTATTTGTGCTGCAAGCGACGCGTCCTGGAGTTCGACGAGTTCCTCAAGATTGAAGGCTGTCACACGGGCAGGCACCTTTTCGTCCCCAAAACGTCACCGCAGACGGTACAATTGTCGACTATCCACCCAACGAAAGGCACTCACGATTTGAATTGCAGGAAGAGCAGCTCACGGACTGTCGCATCGATCATTATCAGACGCCCAGCGAGGTACATGTCTCGGTATTTGCGAAGAAGGCGGATCCGGAGCGCAGCACCGTGAAGATCGAGGAGCAACAGGTGTGTCCGCTTGTCGCCTCAGCTTCGAGGCTTGAACCAAGACATGAAACTGTAGCTGCACTTGGACATCGTACTACCGGAAGCCAAGCGTTTCCGACGGTCCATAGACTTATTCGGGCCCGTCGACCACGAAGCTTCCTCCTATAAATTCTTCGGGACCAAGGTACCGTCGACGGTCTCCCTCGATTGTCTCCCATCCCTTACGCGGATTTCCTCTAGGTTGAAGTTTTGCTCAAGAAGCAGGATGCTCGCAGCTGGAGTCTCCTAGAAAAGCCCAGCGGTTCGACATACGTCGCTGAAACCTTGACATTTGGTGTCCAGGGACGTACAGGAACCATCGGCGCGAAGGAGATGATCCTTGCGCAAGAAAATAGGAAAGGCGCCTAATGTATTCTATGCCATGCGTGGCGTCTAGAGTAATGGACAATGTGTCTGTCGACAATGCAGCATTGAGCAGTGATTATCTACGTCTTTTGATTCTATGCGCTTTTGAGCATCTCAGAGCTGGCCTGGCTTGACGACTTCCTCGTAAGTTTGGATCAGGTCACCCGGTTGGAAGTCGGCGAAGGCGCCGACGTTGATACCGCATTCTAGTCCCTTGCGGATCTCCTGAACATCTTTTTTGAGGTGCCGCAATGTCTCCACGGGACCTATATCCACGAGCAATAATCAGCATCGTCCCCGCCGTCGAACATCACAGTCCGTCCCACCTTCGTACACCGTCGCACCGCCTCTGACCACCCGCGCCATCTTGTCCTTTTGCAATACGCCATTGACCACCCGGCACCCGGCGACCTTCATGATCTTCTTCTGCTTCAGGTGAATGTCGAATAGCTGCAGCACCGTCGCCTCGCCCGTCACGCGCTGCTCTACGACCTTCGGGAGGAGGTCGATCACGCGGCTCTTAACCTCCTCCATCACGCGGTAGATGATATCCGAGGTGTAGATCGCTACCCCGTTCTGGTGCGCAGTCTGTTCGACCGAGCGCGGGGTGTTCACGCCAAAGGCGACGACGATACCTATAGAAGAGGCCACCGTGAGCTTACTGCCAGAGGTTGCGAAGGCTAAAATGAACACCCACCTTCGGCGGCCTTGGCCATCATCACATCCGAGTCCGTCACCGGTCCCACCCCGGTCGACACGATCTTCACCACCGCCTTATCGTTCCCAATCCCCTGCACCGCGCCCGCGACCGCCTCCACGCTCCCGCTCACGTCCCCCTTGATCACCAACTTCAGCTCCTTGGGGCCGCCCTCCCTCTCCCTCTCCCTCTCCCTCTCCCTATCCCAGTCCTTCTCGCCGTCCTTCCCCTGATCCTCCTCCTTCACCTCACGCTCCACCCGCCGTTGCTCGTTGATCGCGCCCAGGTCACCGAGCATGCGCTCCTCGCGCGCCCGCCGCTCCCGGTTCGCGAGCGCCCGCTTGATCTCGCCCTCGCCCGCGGACAGCACCTCCTCCCCGGCTGACGGCAGCTCCTTCCACCCGGACACGGTCACCGCCGCCCCGGGCAGCGCGGCCTTGACGGCCTTGCCCGCCGAGTCCGTCATCGCTCGCACCTTCGCGTGCGCGAGGCCGGAGATGAGGTGCGTGCCCGGCTTGAGCGTCCCGCGGAGGACGAGTACGGTCGCGACCGGTCTGTGGCGCGCAATACGGTCAGATGATGCGCTCAGGAGTGCGGCATAGAAGGGGAGGGAGAAGATTGGACGCACCCGAGGCCCTTGTGCACCTTGGACTCGAGCACGTGGCCCTGCACCTGGCCGTCCTGCTCGGCACGAAGCTCCTGCATCTCTGCGAGCGCGGAGAGCGTCTCGACGAGCTGGTCGAGCCCGGCGCCGGTCAGGCCGGAGACCTCTACGGAGGGGATGTCGCCGCCGAAGACCTCGAGCTGGAGGCCCTCCGCGAGAAGCATCTTCTGTACCCGATCCTGCCGATCCATCCAAGCGTCAATTTATGCAAGGTCTCCCAGGAAAGAAAGGACGCACCACATCAGCCTCGGGCTTGTCGACCTTGTTGATAGCAACGACGACGCCGAGCTTGCCCTCGTCCTTCTTGATGAGGTCGATCACCTCCCGCGTCTGCGGCATGACGCCGTCGTCCGCGGCGACGACGAGCACCACGATGTCCGTCACGCGTGCGCCGCGCGCACGCATCGCCGAGAACGCGGCGTGTCCGGGCGTATCGAGGAACGTGATGCTTTTGACGCTGCGAGCGGACATCAAAAAATCGTCAGCGAAGGAGATCGTTAGACAAGGCGAACGTGTTTTACCTGGACGATGAAGAGGAGGCGGATTTGACGGGCACCGAGAACGCGCCGATGTGTTGCGTGATCCCGCCGGCTTCGCCCTTGGCAACGGACGCATGCCGGAGCGTGTCGAGCAGCGTCGTCTTGCCATGATCAACGTGGCCCATAATCGTTACCACCGGTGGGCGCGCGGGGAGCTTCGCCGGGTCCGCCGTCGACGGTCTGCAGGCGGACATCATCAACATGGCGGTGCGTATATACAAGGGGGGCACGGGGACGTACTCGGGGAAGATGTCGAAAGCGGCTTCATCGTTGATGACGGGGTTGCGGTTGAACTCCATCGCAAGGAGTGATGCATATTCAGAGGTCAGAACTATGTACGAAAATGGCATGTGTCAGACGAGCGCTACTGGCTGAGGGAGAGCATGGACATACTGTGTTCGGGCGCTGCTTCTTCCGCCATACCAGCTTCCTGCATCTTCCGCTGTAGCGTAGCTGTAAAGGTGAACCCAATGTGCGGTCAGTACATCTGAGGGTTACAACGAAGGGAGAGCAGCACGCACGCAGCCGGACATTCAACAGCCGCGCGAGGTTCGCGACTGTGCACAGCTGCGGCACGAACACGTCCACCGACACCTCCTTCGCCCGCCTCGCCTTCTCCTTCTCCTTCCGCTGCGCCTCCGCACTTCTGTGGTCCTTATCCTTCCTATTCCGAGCCCGGCCCTCCGCCTCGTCCAACTCCGCCTCTGCCTGTGCGCGCAGGGAGCCGCGGTGCTTGTGCCCGCGTTCCTTGTGCCCCAGGCGCCGCGCGTCCGAAGTGGTGGTAAGGGCGGAGTCGTCCTCGAGGGCCGCGTAGCGCGCGGGCGACCACGTCTTCGAATCGCCGTTGGTCTTCGCGTCTCGCGTTTGGGCGGATTGGGCGGGAGATTGGGGGGCATCCTCGACCGGGGTTACCCTGCGGTGCTTCGGGGATAGATGCGGGAGCGGCTCGCGCCGGAGTCCGCTCGGGCTTGCGCTGACCTGGCCGGAGGCAGTGACGGGGGCCGGGGCCGGGTCGGGGTCGGGGTCGTTGAGCAGGTCGATGGATTGCCGTTTGGGCTTGGGCGCCTGCTCGGAGGAGGGGGTGGCCCAAATCAGATTGTCGAGATTGTCGAGAGAGGAGGTGGAGGGCTCGGGGGGCGCGTGACTGCGCCGGGAAGACCAGATGCTGCCCGCGCGCGGAACGCCAGGGACGAACGCGGCCGGGTTGACGCGCTCTCGGGAGGTCGACGGTGGAGGGGGTGTGCCACCTGGCCGCGACGGATTGGACGAAGAAGAGGAGGGCATAGGAGGGCGGTCGCGGGTAGGGTTAGGAGTCGCCCAGGAGGAGGCAGGGCGGTCCCATTTGCTGGTGCTGCCCGCGATGGAATCTGCGGGTCGTGCCCATTTGCTGCTGGCGCCTGGGTCCGCGGGGCGGTCCCATTTGCTGCCTGCGGTAGAGTTGGCCGGCCGATCCCACTTGCTGCTGGCAGTCGAGTCGGTCGGTCTGTCCCACTTGCTGCCGCTTGACGCGCCTGGCCGCGCTGCGCTGGACGGCGGGGTGGCCGGGTCGGGGCGGGTCCACTTCCCGAGCGACGGGGGCAGCACGGGGGACGGCCGGGCCCATTTCCCCGGGGCTGGCGCAGGTTGGTTCGACGAGTTAGACTGGGTGCGTTGGTCAATATGCGCGTATGCGGACATGCGTTCATCTTCGGAACGGGTATGATGCGGAGAGAATCACTCACGCTGCTCGCGAACTTGGCGGATGTAGCAGCTGAGCGCCACTGCTGCCGCGCGCGGAATATCCGGGCTGACCGACGGGCGTACATGTTTTAGTTGACTGTCGACCTTCGTCTATTAGGATGGAGCTCGGCCAGCCGATGTCGACCCCAAGGCTGCCCGGCTGGAGGGATGGGATTTCTCGTCGGGTCACGTGAAGACATGAGCGCTCAATGAACACAGCCATTTCTCACGGTATGAACTCAGACAAGCGCCGGCCCTGGGTCAGCTGGACAGCGACGATGATCGACTTCGTACGCTAGTAAGGTAGTGGGGTTCCCGCGAATGCATATGATTTCAAACATAGGCTCTGTGCGTGGCGTACATAACGGCATAGCGTTTCTCTCGCCCTTGATACAGACGTGATCCCCTACCATGATGTTCGCGCTCTCGGCTCGTGCAAGCAAAGTGCTCAGGCTCGCGTCGGCGGTCGCCCTCGCGCTGGCCATCGTGTTGAGATACAGGCGTCGTAACGGCCGGGCGCGGTTTCTCGTCAAGGACTTGGGCAAGGCAGGCTCGAAGGTCGCGCACGACGCGTCGCCGGACGAAGCTGTTGGACCGTTGTACGATGTCGTCATCATCGGCGGAGGTGAGTAGTCGTTCAGACAGCATTGTTGTTGGGGGGAACCCTATCTCAACTCTTTGGTCACAGGTACTGCGGGATGCGTTCTTGCATCGCGTCTGTCAGAAGACCCCTCGGTCAGCGTGTTGCTCCTTGAGGCTGGCGGCAGGTACACATCCCGATGTCCGTGCGTTTATGCGCATATACGCTGACCATCGACCTTCTAATAGCGGTCTCGATGTACCGTTCAGTCGCATACCAATGGCGTACGTGCGTCCTGTCGTTCCATGCACATAGCTAATCCGCGCACCACAGGTACTCGAGGCTCTTCCACACAAAGCACGACTACGACCTCTACACCGTCCCGCAGAAGCATTGCTATAACCAGCCCAAGTACTGGCCTCGAGGTGCTTCCGCCTTTTTCTTCTCTTGTTAGTCTTCATTTTACGAGGTGCATATAGGCAAGATGCTCGGCGGCTGCTCTTCCCTCAACGCGATGATGTTCCATTACGGCGCGCCCTCAGACTACGACGAATGGGTCGATCCGGCCGTGCCGGACTCCTCAAGCTGGTCATACGCCAACGTCAAACCGTATTTCCGCAAGTTCGAAAAGTTCACGCCGAGCAAGGTGTTCCCCGACGTTGACGTCCAGGCGCGGGGTAGCGTCGGGCCTATCGAAGGTGTGGATCAACACCCCTTTGCATCCTGCCCGCGCGAACGAGTAACGACGAGCTGACTGGGAATGATTCTCTAGTGGGCTACTTCGGACATTACTCCGAGGTCGCGCGTCGGTTTGTGGACGCCTGCGAGGCGATCGGGATCCCGAAGAACCCCGACGTGAACACGGACAAGGGTACGCTAGGCGCGACGAAGGTAGGCGTGTCCATTCTCATCTATTCCGCACATTGCTGAGTTTCGTCCCTCCCCTCTAGATCAGTGAGTGATGCAGGAACCGTGTATGCGATATACCCACGACCTAACGTCTGTCTCCCTCCCCCCCAGTGACTTACACCGAGTACGCCGTCTCCTTCCTTCACTGTGTTCCATTAGTTCCAATAAGCTGACCTCCCTCTCTGTCTAGCTCGCGCGGCCGCCGTGTCACGACTGAGTCCGCATACCTCACCCCGCAGGTCCTCGCGCGACCCAACCTGACCGTCGCGATCGGCGCCCGCGTCACACGCGTCCTCTTCTCTCGCGCCGACGAAGGCAAAGAGGGGCCCCGCGCGAACGGCGTCGAGTTCACCAACAAGCCGCACGGGCCGCTCTTCCAAGCACGCGCGCGGAAGGAAGTCATCCTCTCGTCAGCTTAAATTTTTTCTTTCACGCACAAAACAAACCATCGCTGACGACGACACATTTCGCTACAACAGCGCAGGCGCCGTACACTCTCCTCAGATCCTTCTCCTCTCCGGCATCGGCCCCGCCGCCCAGCTCGCCTCGCACGGCATCCCGGTCGTCCTGGACGCGCCGAACGTTGGCCAACACCTCCTCGACCACATCGTCGTCAACGTCCGCTTCCGCGAATCCAGATCGTCCCCGGCCCCGCCATCCTCCCTGCTCTACCTCAAGAAGCCCGCGACGTTCTCCGAAGTCGCGCGCACGGCGAAAGCGATGTGGCAGTTCCGCTGGCGCGGCACCGGGCCGCTGACCAGCAACGTCGCGGAGGCGGCCGCGTTCCTCCGGAGCGACGACGCGCGCGTGGAGGGGCTGGTAGAGAAGGATGAGAAGGCGGAGGTGGAGGACGCGACGAGCGCGAAGGATGCGCCTGACCTCGAGTTGATCGCGAGCCCGATGGCATGGATCGCGCACGGGCACGGTGAGGTGCCGAAGGGCAACCTCGTCTCGTTCGGCGCCGTCCTTCTACGCCCCGTACGTTCATCCCCCCCCCTCTGCTGCTCGAGCTATGAGCTCACTTCGCTCTCTGCTCTCTCTTCTCCTCTATGGCTCGTGTCATAGACCAGTCACGGCTCGATCGCGCTTCGATCGCGCAACCCGTTCGACGCCCCGACGATCGACCCGAACTACCTCGCGACGGACCACGACGTCGCCGTGCTCGTCCGTGGCACGCGGGCGCTCCTCCGCGCCGCCGCCTCCGCGCCGCTCGCCCCGCTGCTCGACACCGACGAGGCCGACCCGTTCCTCGACAACCACCTCCTCTTCCCCAAGCAAGGACCGAAGGAAATATCCGGCGAAGCACTGGAGCGGCTCGTGCGCGAGCGCACCGAGACGTTGTACCACCCGGCGTCGACGTGCCGGATGGCGCGCCGCGAGAAGGGCGGCGTGGTCGATTACGGGCTGCGGGTGTACGGCGTGCGCGGGCTGCGCGTCGCGGATGCGAGCGTGTTCACGAACCTCGTGGCGGGACATACGGTCAGCTTTCCCCCCCTTTACTTGACGCGCGTGCGATCGTGCTGATGGGCGTGTGCAGGCGGCGCCTGCCATCATGATCGGGGAAAAGTTGGCGGACGAGCTGAAGAAGGAGTGGAGCGCTTGAACGCGCCCTTCAGCATCACCTTAGTATCTTGCTTGACTGACGCTATATTTGTACCGCATGTTCTGTTGGAATGCTCGTTGACTTACAAGCTTTTGCATGCGCGAAGGCAATACCTCCCGAAGATCTTGATGCCTGCCTCTGGCTCATGTATACATATATCTGAATATTCACATCAATCCTTTGAACAACCTATACTGGCCAGTGACATGCGAGCCAGGTGCTACGTCATGACCGTCGATGGGAGGTCAAGGTATGAATGCTGAAGGCCACAGCTGTGCATGTAGAGGTGCGAGTAGCTAGTAGAACATGCGTCGGTCCGCAGCCCTTGCTCCGATGTATGTTGATTCTGTCCAGATTGAATACATGATATCGATCTGATCTGCGGCGATCCCGAGCAAGCCAAGGTCACAGAGAGGGACGAAGGCTGAGTTGCAAGTGAACCCCTATTCCGACAATTTCTCAAGCTACCACATTCGTTCGGCCGAGCATCATGACTGTTTGCATAACTATCGCAGCTGGCCTTGCACAGCGTATTCCCCACTATCGTAATGGCGGCCAGGACGGCGACCATCACCCGCAACACGGCCGAGACACAGATCGAGGTCTCCATCAACCTCGACTGCCAACCGGGCACCCAGAACGCGCAGGTCATCGATGTCTCCACCGGGATCGGTTTCCTCGACCATGCACGTTCATGCTCTCACTGCATCTCGACCTTCTGCTTACGGGAACGTGGTGGAACTTGCGCACATATAGATGTATCATGCCCTCGCGAAGCACAGCGGCATGTCGCTCACGATGAAGTGCCAGGGTGATCTGCACATCGACGACCACCACACAGCAGATATGTCCTTTCCGCGTCCGCTCTGCGTGCCCTCCCAACTGATGTCGTCTTGTTTACACAAGACAGCGCGATCGCTCTAGGCACGGCATTCAAGCAGGCGCTGGGCGAAGTTCGGGGGATCCGCCGCTATGGCACGGGCTTCGCGCCTCTGGATGAGGTCCGTCTATCGACATCGTCGCATATATGCGCCGTTACCAGCCATCGCAGTAGGACTGACGAACTCCGAATGAACAGGCCTTATCCCGCGCAGTGATCGACATCTGCTCTCGTCCATACTGCTTCACCGACCTTGGCCTCAAACGAGAAAAGATCGGTGACCTCTCCACCGAGATGTTCCCGCACATCTTCTACTCGTTTGCCATGGCCTCCGGCGTGACGCTCCACGTCGACGTGCTGCGTGGCCAGAACGACCACCATCGGTGGGTTATCTCTTCCTTTGCCACTCTGTCGTTGCTGTATGCTCACCAACAGATCGAAACGTCGACAGGGCAGAATCCGCGTTCAAGGCGCTCGCTATCGCTATCCGGCAAGCGATCGAGCGCACAGGCGGGAACGACGTGCCAAGCACAAAAGGTGTCTTATAGATATTTCGGTAGTACAAACCAAATGCAGCTCGCGCATGTCCTTGTATTGTATATCTTACACCGCGGGGCTCTGCATATGATCTTCGCTCCGACTCTCGGTTTTTCCTTCGGCGAGACGGGAATTGGTTTAGTTCCAGAGCAAGCAACGCTCCGAGTCGGGCGGGTTGAGCTATGAACGCGCAAGGAAAGCAATCACTTGAGGCGTTCACTATCTGAGGCAAGGAGTTGGAACGCACCTTGGCTTTCGCAGAACAATTGAACGCTTTCGCGAACTCAGGTATGTTAGACACAGTACCGTCGGTCCGGTAGCGGTTGGGCGAGTGAGGATCGGTACGCACGCGTGCAACCTGTGTCAGGAGCCTTCAGCTGGATATATTGGAGCTCATCACGAGATATACGTACAGCTGAGGCGGGCTTGATGTTTTGTGCCCACGTCCGCGCGAACGAGATGAAGAACAGCTGATCCCTGCATATCACCCGTCATCAACACACAGACAAGAGGTTGTGGCGGAGAGTTGGAAACGTACTTGGTGAAGCCGAGGCCAGGCAGAACATATTCGTTTCCGTTCCGCAACGAGTCGGCGTACTGCGCCTTCCACGCGCGGTAGGACTGAATGAGACCGCTGTCTCCGATGTTCTCTCCCGACGTGAGGTTGCCCTGTCGTCGGCGAGGTCAGTCAGACGGATTGGCGACGGAGAACGGGACGAAAACACACGTTCACGTGGACCACGCCGCCTTTACCGTCGTCCACGGTATAGTCTGCGAACGGTAAGTCGTCAACGATCGCATGATCGAAATGTGGAGGAAAAGCTGCTTACTCGAGTATTGCTTGGAGATACACTCCGCGCGCTCGTTGAACGCCGCGCTGGTCGCGTTGGTCCACCACTCTTCGAGCTTGCCCTGCTGGTTGTACATTCGTCCGGCCGAATCGAACGCGTGCTAGTGCAAGCCAATTATCGATCGATATTCTCAACGGACTGCATGAGAGGTGACGTACCGTAAGCTCATGGGCCGCGACCATGCCGAAGGAGCCATATGCCATGTACGCAGGCCTGTCGGAAAGCGGTCAGTAAGCATGGTCACATCCTGCCACCCAACGGCAAGACGTACCAGTCCTGGGAGAAGAACGGAGGCTGAAGAATACCAGCCGGGAACACGATCTGTCACGCTCGGTCAACACTCTTTTTCCAACATCTCCCACGTTTGTGCGCACCTCGTTCCCGGGCGGGTTATAATACGCGTTGACCATCGACGGCCACATCTCCCACTCCTCGTGGTCACGTCGCTTGCCAAGCTTCTGCCATTTCTTGTACACGTCGCTCGAGCTGAGACAGGACCACCGTCAGCGGGAATTCCCCGATTGTTTGATGAAGAATAGGGCCGAGACGTACTATGAGTTGAGCATGTTGCCGAAGAAGTCCGACTGGTTCACGCGCACGAGCTGATAGTACACATATAACGAGCGCGGGTCTAGCGTGTTCGGTGACATGGGGAAGCCGACCTTCACCCTCAGCGCGTCCGCCTATGTTATCACAGGCTCATCAGAACACGTTGAACCCCTCATCGTCGTGATACCTGTACCAACCTTCTCGGCAGCCGCCTTGGCGCTCTCCTCGTCCATCCATTCGACATCCTCGAGGCTCTTCTTGAACGCGCCGACGATGTCCGTGATCACCTTCGTCGCCTTTTCGCGCGAGTCTCCGGTGAACGTTTCGTTCACGAAGTAGCGGCCAGCAGCAAACCCGAGCGAAGACTCGACCTTGCCGATGCACCATTCCGATCGGTCCGGTACCGCGCCCTTCTTGATGCCCTGCATGCAAACGGATCTTAGCACGTGTTCAGGGACATCGGGTCAAATATAATAGCACCTGCAGCTCCTCGGTGAGCTCGCGCGTCACCTTCCACGGCACGGTCCCGTACCCGAGGTTGGGTGCGAGCGCAAGCGCGGCGCGCGCAACGAAGTAGGCTGCGACGACCTCACCCTCGGTCTTGGCCAAGATCTCAGACACTTTCGCCGGATAGGCGGGGTACGTCTCGATCACGATCGCGGGATACGCGCGCGGCGTCATGCTCGCGAAGTACTCGCCCCACGCGATCTGCGGCAGCGCCAGCGTGAGATTCGCGATGGGTGTCGGATTGTACGTCCCGAACGGATCCTGGTAGAGCTTGTCGAGTGCGAGCGAGGCAGCCGCGAGCCGCTTCTCGAAGGTGACGACGTCGGCGGCGAGTTGGGTGAAGTTGATGGGTTTGGGCGCCGGCGGGAGGTCTTCGTCATCATCGTCGTCGCCCCACGGTGGCCAGGGCCACGGCGGCCAGGAGTAGCTGGTGCCGGCTTCATCGTTGACGACGAGGCTGCTCTGTGATGCGGAAAGCGATGCGGAGGCAGACGGCGTGTCCTGGTAGAGATATTCGAGCAGGCGCTCGATGACGCTCTGGTAGAGCGCTACGATATCGTCTTCCTCAAAATATTCCTGAGGAGACGCATGAGCACACAGCGCCTCAATGAGGCAAGAAAAGCGGGTAAGCATACCTTGGACGGCAGGCCGAAGTCGGACTGCGTGAACCATAGCGTCATCGCGTCGGGGTCGACGCCGGCGTCACCGTCGACTTCCACGTCGAAGATCACCGGGATACCTATTTCAGTTGTCAGACACGCAGCCCATTGCCCGGGGGAGGGGGTATATGCGCACCCTTCGAGTGCAAGAACGCAATGGCGGCAGTTAGGTTCAGATTTTTCTCCTTGCCGAGTCCGCCTTCTTCAGCGGAGGCCGCGTCAACAATTGTCGTGGAACCGTTGAACAGCTTCCGGACGGTGTCGGTAACCTTCAGCAGCGGCGCTGCACCAACCTCGTCGAGGTAGTCTTCATCCATACACGAGCCGTACAACCACCGCAGCTTCTTCAACAACAGCGTGTCGTACACCTTATCCGCAGGCGAGCCGAGCATGGCTGCCTCCTCGTCCACATCCGGGAGCGACACGGAGGTGGCGAGAGAGTTGGTGTCCTCGGCGGGCTCGAGAATGGCATGGATGACCTGCTTGTTCTTCACCGCGAGCTCGCCAAAGGACTCAAAGCTGCCTTTTCCTGCGGGAATGGGGTGCGCCTTGCGCCATCCGCCGGCTGGATCGGGCGAAACCAAATTAGCGCGGGCTTGAGCATATCCAGATGCGGTAGGGTGACGTACTCGCGAAGTCGTACAGGCTCTCGCAGGGGTCTACGGACGTGTCGAGCGAGGCGAGGATCTCGGCGGAGAGTGTAATGCAGCTCGGCGTGAGGCATACTTTCTGTGGAGAGGTGAGATGAGCATATGCCGAGTTCGTCCAAGCCGAAGGCGCATACCTCTTCTGGTGCATCGGTGGGCCCGGGAATGGGAGCGCTAATGGTGGTGGTCTGGACGTCGGTAGTCGTCGCTGTCGCTGTGGTGACCACGGTGGTGGTCACGCTCTCTCCTGGGGTATCGCCCTTGCCGGTGTTCAGCTTGTGTTGCGCGCCGGCGAACAGACCGATGAAGATCGAGGCAAGGAGCAAGAAGAGAACGACTAGAACAATGAGGACTTTGGTCAACGCGGTGAGCGGTTCATCAAAGACGGCCGCGACGCGTTCAGCGAAAGTCGGTTCTTCGTGGGCGGGGCTTGTTCCATCGTTTAGGAGAGGAGCGGTCTCTGGTGTTTCATCCAATTCGTGAGCCACGGATACGATTTCCTCGGTGAAAAAGCAAGAAGATGAGTGAACATACCCTCGTCTGTGGATGGCCGCGGTTCCGCCATGGCGGTGGATGGTGAGGGCGTGTGTGCGCAGCCGACGTGAGCCTTGTGGAACACGCGCTACGAGTACTTATGACGAGATGTGCACGCGTCTCGACTCTCGCGTAAGGCTCCAACCGTACAATATATATACCGTATGTATACGGTAAATACCCTATGTGTATCCGTATGTGTATAGCTTCCCTGGATGTGCTGTATATACATGGTTCCTATAGGTTATATGGAATAATATACGGTTGCAGAGGAACCCCACTGCGGCTCCGTTGTGTAGATTCCACAAGGACACCATTGCCCTGAGCCCACGTCGCAATGCCACCACCACATGATGTAAGTGCATGGATCCGCCCTCTGTCGTCTTCCAGCGTCAGCCTTGTGTTGTGTATCCCTTGTGTCAATTCATACAACTTACTTTCGTCGAGGAATGTCATGCGACTGCCTCAAGATCAAGTTCTCAAGGTCTTCTACGGGCTCGTTCATGTCCCACTGGACTTTGCGAAGAATTTGAGGACTGCAGGGGACTTCCAGCACGATGTGGCTTTCTGTGACCGCCCACCGAGAATAAAAGCCCTCCCGATGGACTCAGTTGGGCACGGTGTTGCTACTGCTCGCGTTAAACTCACCTCCATCATGTCCGAACAATCCAGCTCAGACGAAGCATTTTCTATCTGTCGAGACAAGATTACAACCATCGCTGCACTCACGGCTTCTCTTCCTTCCAGTGTTCCTCTGGCAACACAGGCCGACCTCATCTGCACGAAGTTTCAGAGCATCCAACCAGAAATGAACGATGGTGACGGCCTCTGGACCGTGTTCAATCGCCGGTTTGATGCAATCTTTGGAGAAGACCGGCGGGAGAACGGACGGCTTCCGATCAGGCGTGGCGAGTTTGGCATGGGCCTTGTGGTGCCGTACCTTCAAGATATGCTCCTGCACCAGCTGCAATACCCTTGGACTGCAGTTCAGCCCAAGCTTGACAAGCTTATTGACGAGCTTAAAGTTCTTACACAGTGAGTCCATCGCATTTTTTATCTTCATGAATATCAGGCTAACTTCTTCGCAACCAGAAAGAAGGCTCTGACCTTGAAGATTCCTGGAGCAAAGCAATTACCCGGTGCGTGCATATGAGATTCGATCTTGCGGCGGGTATCCTAATCTGATCTGTAGAGTTTATCGAGAGCCATGAAGACGCCCAAGATGCCGACTATACACCGCCTAAGAAAACCCGGAAGGAGCCCTCAAGTCCGTGTCATGAAGTCTTTGATAGTGACGGCAACGAGATCCCTTCGGACACTGAGAACACGAAGGAGCGTAAGAAAAAGGTACATATTTTATGCTTGCTACAGTGTCGTGTTGTTACTCATTAGACGACAGAAGAAATCGCGCGCAAGAAGAAAGCAGCTGAAGAGTGCTGTAGATCCGCAGCCAATGGCAGGAAAGGTCAGTATCCGGGCACTATTGCGATGCTTACTGTACTAATTAATGTCACAGAAGCGGAAACGTGCGGACATCGAGATCCGGAGGTCTGACGCCAAGTCTGGCTCTGACCTTGAGTCTGGGAGTGAATCGGACGGCGAAACTGCGATTCGCAATGTTGAGGAGAGAGAGAAGGCTCTGGGTGCTCGACGAGGCCCGGCAAACACAAGCATGAAGTATTTTTATGATCCCATTCCTGTTGTTGACGGGCAGCGCCTTCGCTGGGAATTCAAGTGTCGCTGTTGCAAGCGGTGAGTAGGTTGACTATACCTAGGCCATCGTCTGACATATTGCTCCAGTATCCGCTCCTTCCCTCGGACTGTTGGGGCAGACCAGAGTTTCGACGATGAGCCAACGCTCCCTGCCCTCAACAACCTCGCCACGCATATCAAGCAATGTCAAAAGAACAATCTTGTGCAAGGGCAAGATGCTTCAGAGCCGAAGCTTGGGGACCAGATCAACCTCCAGGAAGCTGGTCGGATGATGGCTGAGTTTCTACGAGAGGGAGAGCTTAATCCGGCGGTTGTTCCTACCGCGAAGGGGTTTCTGCGCATATTCACAGCCTGGATTCTTGACGAGAGCCTTCCATGGACAACAGGCGAAGCACCGACTCTGAAGGCCCTTTTCAAGTACCTAAAGATCCACTATCAACTCCCTTCGGACACCCAAGTTCGAAATGAACTTGGTCGCATATTCCTTGATCTTCATGGGAAGGTTGTCCGTGAGTTTGCGGTATGTTCTGTTCCACTTGTGAGGCGCGCCCGCAATATTTACTCACGACTTAAATAGGATGTCAAGTCGAAGATCGCGTTCCAGACAGATACCTGGACAAACCGACAAATGGTGTACACGTTTGCATGCACCGTCGGTTCATTTGTTGACGAGGACTGGAATCTCATCGAACGGGTTGTCGATTTTCAGCCGCTTTTGGGTGAGAAGGACCATCGTGGCACATACGCCGGGAAGGCATTTGTCAATGGGCTTTCGACCAGGGGATGTGGTGATAAGATAAGTACTGTATAATTTCTTGCATATGACATTCATACCAGTCTAACTCATGCTCTACTTTGCAAGCCTGACTACAGATAATGCATCAGTAAATGATGTACTGGTCGAAACCGCGGGACGATGCCTTCTTGCAAAGTATGGCCTTACATTCAATCCAGACTCTCACATCCGCTGCCTCGCACATGTCATCAATCTCGTCGTGCAGAAATTCTTGCATAGCATCGACGAAGCGGATGATCCAAACACCATGGACTGGTTTGATGAAGACGCGAATGCTCCCCTTCATTATACACCTGAGGACGACGAGGAGGTACAAGATCTTCTTCAAGAAGCTCGCGAGGCTATGAAGAATGGTGATGTTTGTGACTCGGATGACAGTACGGCCATCGACCCTGACGATGTCAGCGACGCTGTACTGTTGAGTCCGTTGAAGAAGGTAAATCTGTTCTAATATTGTCGTCTTTCTGATATACTTCTGATATACTCAAATCCTTGTCCTCAGCTCCGATTCATATGCAATAAAATTGTTTCGTCTCCGCAGAGACGTTCACGATTCCGAAGGACTACGGCTCGTCTCAACGAGAAGCGGAAGCTCGAGAAGAAAGACGAGGTCTCTACACTACTCATGGTCATCCGAGACATCAGAACGAGATGGAACTATACGCACGCCATGATCAAGCGAGCAGAAATGCTGAGAGAGGTGCGTTCGCTCGATTGATAGTGATGACTCATCCTGACAACATTCACATTGCAACATTGCAGTCCATTAAGCACTGGGTCTTTGATACAGAGGAGATGCAAGGTGTGACACTTACTGACAAGGATTGGATCGAGCTGAAGCATATTGGTGATATCCTGGAGGTATATTCATTTACCCCATTGTTCCTGGAGTCCTGTCCGTCTTACTCCATATTTGTGAACAGGTGTTCACTGAGCTTACACTTTTGCTTTCGCGCGCATCAATACCCACGCTGCCATTTGCATTGCCTACCTATTTGAAGATGACCACGCACCTCATGACTGTTTCACGAGATATCAAGCTTCCTAGCAAGTTCCACAGAGCGGCAACCGTGGCGCTTACGAAGCTGGACAAGTACTACACCATCGCTCGAAAAAATCGATTCTACACAATAGCAACCGGTGCGTTCCGCGTGAATGTTCTTAATAGTGTGTTGACCTATCATCACAGCTCTCCATCCAAAGTACCGGTCGAAATGGTTCAAAAAACTCGATGACCGGGATGCAATTGCTAGAGCGGAAGCTCTTGTTCGACACATCGCTGAAGAATACGAGGAACGGCTTGCATCGCAAGCAGAAACGACTTCGCCAGCTCCAGAATCCGTGCCGAAGTTGCTGTCGAAGAGTGACAACAGCATTTCGATTCTATCGGATGCCTTCGATATTGACGACGACGACTCGGACATCGATGAGCCCGCTGCCAAGTCGCGCTTTGACGCTGCAGAGGAGCTTGAACGCTACTTCAAGTTCACTGGAGGAAAATGTGATTCATTCGGAGCGCTGGGATGGTGGAAGGTACACGAAACACTGTTTGGCTTACAATCTCCGGATCTGCCCTGACACCGTGTTCTTGCCCATATAGACTAATCAGCACGCCTTTCCCATCCTTTCCCGCATGGCCAGGGACTTCCTCGCGATTCCAGCAACAAGTGTCTCGGTTGAACGTGTATTTTCCAAGTCGCGGCACATATGCTCAGATCTTAGGAGCTCACTCCGAGCTGAGACTATTCAACAAGCCTTGTTGACCAAGGTCTGGATCCGGAGTGGCTTGTTGAACTTGAAGGACCCGGATCCTCCTCGCAAACGCGCTAAACATGGCACGTCGTAGGTTGTCCCAGAAACCGTATATATACTGTATGTATACGGTACATATAGTGTAATGACTGTATCCATATATATACACCCTCGAAGCTATACATATACTATATAGTTGGAGCCTTACTCTCGCGCAACTCCGCGAGATTCCACGCTCTTTCGTGTCCATCGCCGACTGAGTAAAGACCTGTAACGATTCATTCGGTATCTTGAGAACGGCGGCACCTGACATCGCATAACAGTCCTGCACCGTCGTGTTTGCGCCCAACTTCTGCAGGCGCTCGTACAACAACGTTAACATGATGGAATCCGAACTATGTCGTCGCCATGACCCCTATACCAGCCGTTCGATGACCAACGTTTCCACTCATATGTCGAAAATGGCGGCATTCATCGCAGAACCTCTTGCACCATCGTGCTTGCCTCCAAAAATCCACAGGTAGGGCTGCTCGGGGAGTCTACGCGCGAAAATGCAGGGGAGCGAGATACCCGACAAACCAGTGACGAAAGGCTGCAGGCAGCGCTGATGTAGCTTAACCGGCACCGCACGCAAAACCGAGTGTGAGGTCACGACTGATATGCTTATAGCTGATTTTCCCGGAGGGCCCTCATTTTTTTTCTTACGACGCTGCAGAATAAGCGGACTCGTATAAGGGACACCTTGCTCTTGGCTGTATAACCATTGGGCCGCATCCTGAACGATGTAGGGTCACTGAGTTGACCTCGCTCGGAGGTCACGTCCGGACAGCCATGTTTCGTGACCCGATCACCGTTCGAGAGATGCGGACGGCCCGCCTGAACAACTCTGCGACGGCCCTTTCTGGTTCGTAGCTCGCCTACGTGTTTTGGCGCACACCAAAGATCGAGGGCAACGGGATGGGTTCCATGGTGAATCATGTCCAGAGCAAGCAGCGCCGAGAACCAGGCGGGTTCAGCTGTGGTATCAAAGAGGAGCGGTCAGTCGACGGAGTTTCGCGTCATCCGAAGTATGCATACACGGGGGTGCGCACTTTAGCTGTAGCAGAGCAATTGAACGCCTCCGCGAACTCGGGTATGTTGAACACGGTGCCGTCGACGCGGTAGCGTTTGGGCGAGTGTGGATTGCCCCGGACATCTGCAACCTGTGTCACGGGCGGTCAGTCGCACACGCATCGTCCGGAGAATGGGAGGTATACGCACAGCTGCGGCGGGTTTGATGTTTTGCGTCCATGCCTGCGCAAACGAGATAAAAAACAGCTGCTCCCTGAAACACGTCTTGTCAGAATGTAGACGGCCACGCGTAATACAGAGGTGCAACGTACCTCGTAAAGGCCAGGCCAGGTAGTAGGTGGTCGTTCCCGTTTTGCAGCGAGTCGGCATGCTGGGCCTTCCATGCTCGGTACGACTGGATGAGTCCGCTGTCCGCGATATTCTCCGCCAACGTGAAGTTACCCTATTGATCGCCGTAGGTATGGTTGATACATTCAATTAGCATGCTTGAACTGACGTCGCAGAGCCAGCCTACTTTCTCGGCCGCGGCATTGACGCTCTCTTCGTCCATACACTCGATATCTTTGAGCTTCTTCTTGAACGCGCCGACAATGTGCGTGACAACCTTGGTCACCTTCTCGCGCAAGTCACCCGTGAACGTCTCGTTCACGAAATACCTCCCGAGCGCGAAGCCAAGCGCGGACTCGACCTTGGAGATGCACCATTCTGACCTGTCCGCCACCGCGCCCTTCTTGATGCCCTACCAACAACGCACACGGGTCAGACCCGCATGACGAATCGTGAACAGACATGGAGATGAAGACGCACTTGCAGTACCTCGGCGAGCTCTCGCGTTACCTTCCACGGAACGGTCCCGTGCCCGAGGTGCGGCGAGAGTGCCCGCGCAGCGCGCGCCACGAAATAAGCCGCGACGACCTCGCCCTTCGTTTCGGCCAATATCGCAGCCACCTTTGCAGGGTACGCAGGGTAGGTCACGATCACAAGCCCAAGGTAAGCGCGCGGCGTCATGCTCGCAAAGTACTTGCCCCACGCGACCTGCGGTAGCGCGTGGGTCAGGTTCGCGATCGGAGTCGGGTTGTACGTCCCGAATGGATCTAGGTAGAGTTTGTCGAGCGGAAGAGACGCGGCCGCGAGCCGCTTTTCGAAGGCGATGAGCGGTGAGTTGGGTGAAGTTGATGGGTTTCGGCTCCGGCGGAAGGTCGTCTTCGTCATCGTCACCCCATCGTGGCCATGGCCAAGGGGCCCAGGAATAGCTGGACCCGGCTTCGTCATTGACGACCACGCTGCCCTGCGGCGGAGGGATGAACGCGGAGGCGGAGGGCGCGTTTTCATAAAGATATTCGAGCAGGCGTTCAATAGCGCTCTGGTAGAGAGCGACGATGCTATCTTCCTGGAAGTATTCCTAGGACAGTAATGTGCGTGAATGCATAACACGACAAGATAGGAGCATGCCAGCGTACCTTGGACGGCAGGCCGAAGTCAGATTGCGTGAACCAAAGCGTCATCGCATCAGGGTCGTTGCCGGCGTCTTCTCCCGCGATCATATCGAAGAGCACCGGGATGCCTGTACACTGATCAGACATTTGGTAGAAATTGCGCAGTCGGATATCTGCGTACCCCTCGAGTGCAAGAACGCGATGGCAGCGGTCAGGTTCCCGTTCTGCTCTTTGCCGAGGCCGCATTCCCCTCCGGAGATCGCATCGACGATCATGGTGGACCCATCGAACAGCTTCCGAACGGTGTCGGTAATTTTCAACAGCGGCGCGGCGCCGACCTCGTCCAGGCGGCCCTCGTCCATACAGGATCCGTACAGCCCGCGCAGCTTCTTCAGCATCAGCGCGTCATAGATCTCGTCCGCGGGCGTGCCTATCAACGTTGCCTCCTCATCCCCGTCCAGAATCAACGCGGAGGCAGCGAGAGGACCGTCATCGACGGCGGGGTCGAGGATGGCCTTGATAACTCGTTTGTTGTTTACCACGACCTCGCCAAAGCGCGAGATGGTGCGTCTTGCGCCACCCGCCGGCTGCGCGAGATGATGCGAGGTAAGTCAACGTGAAAGAGCGACGGAGCGCTCAGAGCGCAGGGTGACGTACTCGCGAAGTCGTATAGGCTTTCGCAGGGGTCGACGGAGGTATCGAGGGAGGCGAGGATTTCGGCGGAAAGTATGATACAGCTTGGCGTCAGGCAAACTTCCTGTCAAGATCTGAGGTGAACGCGCTGGTTTCCATGGCTGTGGCAGGTCATGGTACATACCTCTTCTGGTGGACAGGTGGGTTGAGGAAGGGGCGCGCTCACGACGGTTGTCTGTACGTCCGTCGCCGTTATTGTCGTGCACACAGTGGTGATTACCCCTCGGCTATCTCCTTTTCCCGTGTGCAATTTGTATTGGGCGCCCGCGAACAAAACGACGAAGATCGAGGCGATGAGCAGGAAGAGGATGGTAAGAACGATCAGGACCACGACCAGCGCAGTGAGCGGCTCATCGATAGCGCCTCGACGCGCTTGACAAACGTTGTTTCGGTTTGCGCAGGGGTTGTTCCATTAACCAATATAGGCGTGGTCTCTAGCGTATCAGACCCTTCGTGAGTCGCTCATACAAGTAGTCGATATCAGAGCAACGAGATGGTTGGACATACCCTCGTCTGTCGAGCTCCGCGATCCTGCCATGGCGGCTTGCCGAGGACATATGCGCGCTAATCTCCCTAGGTAGGCTCTGAGATCATGATGCGCAGCGGACGTGCCGCCGCGACGCCGCTGTGATGCGTGTCTTGGGCGCCTAACCTTCGAAGCAGCACCTCCGCTAAGCGCCCGTCCTCCTTCTCCGACTCAAGCTTCGAGGGAGATGACCATCCCGCGATGCTCAGCCCGACTCGTCGCCGGCGCGCGCGTCCGCGTTGCTCCTCGTAGACTGCCTCGAATTCTCTTCGGTCATCCTCACCCAAGTGTTCACCCGCCGGTCGCGCACCAGCAGCAACAGCGCACGCTCTTCAACTTTTTCCGGCGCAAGCCGCAGGACGACGCGGCGAAGAAGGCGAAGGAGCCGGAGCCCGTGCTGAGTGAGGATGACCTCTTCCACCCGTTCTCCAAGTCGCCCTTCGCCGCCGTGCGCGAGCGCGGCGAGGTCATCCGCAAGCTCGCCGTTTGCCCCGTCTGCGTCAACCAGCATGCGGACTCGCACGCGCCAATCCACGCGCAGCCTCGACACGTCGAATTCGAGTGCCCGGACTGTGGTTGGCCGACGCATTGCTCCGAGGAGCATTGGCATGAAGATGGCGAGCACGACAAGTACTGTGCGCGTTTGCGGGAGGTCAACGAGGATGATCATGACCTGCGCAGCGGGAGGAGGTTGATCGAGTTCGAGTTCCCAGGTGCGCGATATATCCTCGGGACTCGATATGCTCTGCGCCATGTTGAAGCGTGTGCACTTGCTTTTTAGGTCCCCAGGACTCGGAAGCGGCGATCTCGTTCGCCAACTGGGATACGTTCTGGTACACCCGAGGCTTTCCCTCCATGGACACCGAGCGGTCCCGAAGACACGCGAGCAAAGTACTCAGCTTCCCGATCACCATCGGCTCGGTTCTTCACCAATACAGCTACCTCACGCTGAACAACCAGCGGCTTACTCCCGAAGGCAGCCGTTCCCTCGCAGGTCAGTTCCCCCGGCTCTTCACATGAACCTTGTAACTGACAATGTGTTCTTATAGCCCTGAGGCAAACGCTTCACGTCCCACCAGGCACGCCCGAAACTGAGGAGCAGAACATCAACAAGCCGAAGGCGCGGATTTTCATTCTTGGGGCGCGGAAGGAGTCCTCGCTGCCTCCCCATGTTTGGGAACAGCTCTGCCTTCTCTTCCCCGCCGGGCTTGTTCACCTCTACTTCATCGGCCCACAAGTCGCGCTGCCGCAACCGGTCACCGTACCCTTAAAGACGGCCACACCCGAAACCTCCGGCACGACCGACTCCACGACTTCGCCTCCAACCGAAAACCCGGCTGACCCCAAAGCCGACTCCTCGTCTCCTGCCTCTCCCTCCCAATCTGAGTCAACCTCTGTCACCAGCCCGAGCGACGATCAACCATCAAAACCCGCCTATACGCCGAACGTCTACACCCCACCGACGCCCGCGCCCATCCCGCGTCAACGCCGCACGCGCGACTCCCTCATCGAATACGGCGTCCCGTCCTACACCGTGCCCTACACCCCCCAGCTCTACATCTCCGGGCTTCAATCCACCTATCTCGACGTGCACCCCCAGCTCGCCGAATCGTACGACCCCTACACCGACGTCTTCTTCATCTTCCACCCGGGCTTCGGCTTCCCCTCGCCCACCGCGCCCCCAAAGCCCGACGGCACGCCGACCCTCCAAGTCGACGCCCCCGCCGAATGGGGCGGCGTCCTCCCCGCGCTGCTCCAGACCAAGTGCGCCATCTTCGTGACCGGGTTCAGCCCGGCCGACGTCGAGCGCGACGTGCGCGCGCTCGAGACCGCCGAGGGCGTCGCGGGCGAGTTCGACTGGGTGCTCACCCCGGGACCGAACGCGTTCGGCAGCGAGCGCTGGGAGGTGGCCGACTTCGACCCGCGCGTGATGGTCCGCTCGAATTGGGGGATATGGGGCATTCGCGGCAAGCGTACGGACGTCGTCGAGCGCCCCAGCTTTGCGAGCTTGTTCCTCGGTGCGCCGAAGGACGCGAAGAGCAGCGTTTACCGAAATTAGAGCTCGGGGGAGAGGTTAAATATATGTGCTCAAGTATCCTCAAGTATCTTATCACCGGCGACTGTTATACATGGGTTGTCTCAATCGCGGTAGATCCCATAGCTATGGTTCTCCGAGTAATACGAGAATGGATGTATCTTCCCACTCTTCTGAGCGAGCTGAGTGGTGTAGTGGGCTCTGCGTCATGCAACAACTCAAGTGGATAACTAGACGGTGAATCTGCCAAGAAGGAACGTGCAACGCAGAGACGAGCATGACGGCAACTCTGTCCGCACATTTCTAATATAGGCTAGTTCACGCAAGTTGTACGAGCCAACAGCGGACTCAGTAAGCAACGTGTGGCTTATGAAATATCCTTGTATGCGGAAACGTCGGAGAGGAGCGCACTAGTACTGGTCACAACGTGCATATCAGGCCCTCAGAAGAAGCTGCTGCGAATGTTCAAGACTGCCACATGATTGATGTCAGATTTATGGCGTGGTCCGAGAACCACCTATGATGGCGGATGGTCCTCGTCGTTTTGTAGATTCTGATATTTCTGGAAAACAGTCTGAGCCAACGCTTGTTACATGCATGAAAGGCCGGCGGCTTGACGAACCTGATCCAACAACCCCCCTCCTCGTTCCATTTCAGTAATTCCGAGGTGTCCTCGTTTTCGCCAGCTTCTTATCCGACTCGTGTAGGAGTTATATCCTCCGTATGGATCTGCGGTCCTTAGATATGAGCATATAAGCCATGATGGGACTACAACACTGGTGATAGAGCGCTGAATTTACGTCAGAACATCCGCTCGGCGTGTCCACATCCCATGTCCAGGCGGCGCATGATGATGTAGAAAGCAGTCTATGGCTTCATTGCCGCAATGTTCAAGAGATAAGGTGAGAGCTGCGCGCAAGGTGAAACGGCGAAGACGCGGTGAATAACGGCAGAATCAGGAGGTTTACGCCACCAACGCATTCACGGGCGCTAATCTGCGTGTTCTTCTTCTCAACCACGATTAGACACAAACCTCGCGGAGCATCGCTATGTACTCGCACTGACACACGAACTTCGTCGCAAAAAAGGACTTGGCCTGTCCTGCCTCCGCATTCGCTGGATAGCTGCCACGCTTGATAGGGCTCTTTCGCCCATTCTCGTATGAATGAGCATGTTCATTCGTGCACGTCAAGTTTGTTCGTCGGACTGGTAGGTGCCAATCTAAGGACGTTCTGGCCTTCTATCCCGCACTTGGTGCGACAACCCGCGATGCATGTGCGGTTTATATTGAACCTTGATGAGAATCTTCCACGTCGACCGGCCTCATGTTCCACATGTTGCCCGCATTTGCTCCATGGAACGGAACCTTTAGCCAACTACAAGTACCCGTGCTCGGCGTTACTCTTCCTTGCACCAATATCCCGATCTCAGAACGTCCTGAGCGATGCCCTCCGCTAACGACGACGATACGGCCTCAACGGCGCCCTTGGTCTCTCCATCTCACGAGAGTCTGGTCGGTGCATATGCTGAAGGTTCGAATATCGGCACACATGCGCCAACGTCTTCCGGACCCGAACCGGCTGCCAGAGGGCCAGACAAAGCGAAGCAACAGCAATTGCCGAAGGACCCGCCGCCGTGCGCGTGCAAACACGACGCTAGAAATCTCGTAGTTTGCATAGATGGAACAGCCAATCAGTTCAGCGAGAAGGTGAGCGCACGTCGAACCTCTCCCCGTGCAGACGTTCAACATCAAAACATACACTACAGAACACCAATGTCGTCGAGCTCTACAGCCGCTTGATCAAGGACGATGACCAGCAGCTTACGTACTACAACAGCGGGATCGGAACATACGCAAGGGAAACTAAGACTTTCAAGTATTGGAGACAGGCCATCGACCACACCGTCGACATGGCGATCGCATGGTGGGTCGTACCAATACCTTTCGCATACATCCTAACGATGAGTTCGCTTCGCAGGAACTTCAAGAAGATCGTCCTTGATGCATACCAATGGCTCTCGGAAAATTACAAACCAGGAGATCGTATCTTCCTTTTCGGTTCGTCGTCTACACCAACGGCGTCAGCGTCAATCTGATCCCGTGCAGGGTTCTCGCGAGGAGCGTATCAAGTGCGGGTCATTGCGGCAATGATAGAGATGGTACGGTGTTCCGCGGTCGATTCACAAGTGTTCTGACGGGCGCCGGACCAACCAGGTTGGTTTACTTCACAAGGGAAACAACGGCCAAATAGAATTGTAAGTGCTACAAACGTCCTTGATATCCCTCCTTACCGTACCGCAGTGCGTACGAACTATACATGGCGACTACCGCTCTGTTAAGGCGCATCTCCGGGTTGCCACCTGCCCCACGCGATCCAGAGGTCAATCAGAACACGTCCGACGTGAACACGAAGGTTGACGCCAATCGGAGCATAACGTCATGGTTCCGGCGCAAAATACTTCGGAAACCTTCGGTCATACCGGACCCAGCACCACGACAGCAGGAGCCGGAGGCACCGCCCTTGGCGGTGCTCCAGCGCGATGAGCCGGACCATGGACGAACGTCCAAGTCATCCAAGCCCGTAAAGTCCCGTGAGGGCAAGGGCAAGGGCAAGGCTGATCCCCTGGAGCTGAGTGACCGGTTCAAGCGTACACTATGCAGACCGAATGTGAAGGTTCATTTCGTTGGTGCCTGGTGAGCCATTATCGACCGTGATTCGGTGCGGTGTCGATAAAACATCAACAGGGATACTGTCTCGTCGATCGGAGTGGCTCGTGGGCCAAGCCTTCCAGAGACTACCATGGGAATGAAACATGTCTGCGTCTTTCGACACGCCCTCGCACTTGACGAAGTCCGAGTCAAGTTCTTACCGGAATACGCAAACGGAGGAGCTGGACCACGTACATCCGGCGATGACAAGAACTCGGACGCCCGGGGCAACGTTAAAGAGGTTTGGTTCGCTGGTTCCCATTCGGATATGTGAGTCGGGCAGGACATACGCGCTCTTGACCTCAACTAAACAGACAATCAGTGGCGGCGGCAGCACACTTAACATCAACCTTGATCGATTCGGTCCGGCTTTGCGCTGGATGACATACGAGGCTTTGCGCGAAGGGCTCCGTATGACAGACTTCCGGGGCGACTGGTATCAACTCGAGCCGACAGATTCCATGAAGTGGTTTTGGAGGATCTTCGAGTATCTGCCCTTCAAGCGGCTGTCTTACGACCCGACCAAGCACAACGAGCATACTTGCTATAGGTTGGTGTCATACTCAACAATCGTAGCTTTCACCCTTCGCTAAACATGACGCGCCCCTATGATGTAGGCCTCACCGGTCAGCACCTCGTCAGATCATGGACGGGCAGCTAATCCACGAGTCTGTGCTGCAACCTCCCCCCGATCGGGAAGTTTCCACCATGCTCGAATCCAGGAATCTCTCCAAGCGGAGTGCGCGGCTGCCACCAGAGCTAAGCTGGGACGATATAATTGCAGGCCAGCGAGTCGAACGTGATCCCTTTATGGCGACGGAGAAGCTAGTGAAGGACGTCCTCGGCGGGAAGCTCTCCGAACACGACCGTCATGTGCTCATCACTCAGTCTTCGTCCGGTCAGTGGCTGATCTCCTGTCCACCCGTCCAATGTGTAACCGCGTTTTCAGGCGTTGGCAAGCAGTCGATAAAGGACTATGCTGATGCGACCGAACTCTTGAATGCTATGGAAGCGCTCAACTTCGCCGCTGCAGATGAGCAAGAACAGAGGAATGGGCGGATCATCGACTTCTTGATCGTTCTTAGGGCATTTGAAGATTTGAATGACGTGGATAACGTCTGGCTCTTCCGTAATGCAGAGGAAGCTTGGATGCGCACAGCCATAGGCCAGCTATCCACTGTACAGCCAACCATCCTTCAGCCAGCTCTTGATGAACTTAAACAGTTGTTCCGCGCCAGAACAGCGAAGCTCCTGCATCACCTCATGCATGGCCCGCGATGGTCTCATGCGGGTAGATTGCTCGACACTGTCATGGAGGCTGGTTCGTCACTCATTTACTACTGCACTATGGCGTGTGCTTATCTTCCGTAGACATTGGCAAAAGCACGGTTACAGATGTTGCCGACGCATCGGCGCTACTCAAAGGGCTGGAAGTCGTACTGGTCAACACAGATTCGGAATACCGTGCAACGCGCATTACGGGGTTGCTGATCGTTCTGGCATCATTGCCTACGTTACCTGGAGGCACGGAGCAATACTGGGAGAGCAAACTTGCGGAGCTGCTGCTCATAGTCGATTGGCATCGACCTGTGGCCCACCTAGCCATGGATCGGATTATCCGCCCGTTCTGTGACAGAGCTCCAAAGATCGTGGAAGATCTGGTCAAGAGGCAGCTTTCAGCAAAAGAGCGTGGCGTCCTTGACGCGCTATTATACACAGGTGGGCTCGGACTTCTTTCAACCTGGATCGTCCGGCTGATCCTCGGCTTCCGCAGAGTCTGGTAGGCAGTCGATCGCAAGTTGTAATCAAGTTCCGCAGTTCCTTAATACGCTGAAGCTCGTGCTAAACGATGATACCATGGTATTGGATTTGCGGAGGAGCCGCATCACAGACCTGGTGGTGGCTCTTTGCGCAGCAAGCTCGTTCTCCCCCTCAGAGGCCTTGCCTGAACGTCTGTTCATCGCGGCCTTGTCACATGTCGATGCAGCAAGACTGGTGTTTACCAAGACCAAGGATCAAATCATGCAAGATTTGTGTGATACGGCCGGCAACGTATTAGTCAACCTCGTAGATACCGGGTTATCGAAGACAGATCGCGCCGTCCTGACTGGATTACCAGCATCAGGTCAGTCAGCTTCCAATGCGCGTCGAATAAGGTGAATGCTGAATGTGTGCAGACTTCGGCAAGCTGAAAAGAAGCACGGTGGTGATCGTATCTAGGCTGCTCGAATCTCTTGAAGGGCAACCAGGCGGCAACGTCAATCTCGAACGGGAGCTGCGGCAGGCACGCGTGACCGGTATAATACTGCTTCTTGGCACGTTCTCCTCGTTACCGATAGGCGCCAGACAATACCGGGAACGTATTTTGAAGGAACTGCTGTCCTGTGTCGATCAGGAACAATCAGGAACTCGCGAGGCTGTGGATCGAATAATGAAGATATTCGTTGGCAGTAAGTATCGCTACGCGATGTTCACTTGTTGTATTCCTCAAATGGGTTTATGTAGGACTGCAGAAAGTGATCAGGGCTAGTGACATGTTCCGGCCGGTTGTTTCCGTTTCCTTCTCTCCCAATGGTGCACGCATTGCCTCTGCGGGCCACGCACTCGACGGAATCCGTATATGGAACGCGGAGACCGGAAAGGAAATCCTAATGCCATTACTGGGGCACGCGGACTACGTCAACTCTGTCGCATTTTCCCCAGACGGAAAGCGTCTTGCCTCGGGCTCGTATGACAGAACCGTCCGACTGTGGGACGTGAGACGGGCCAGCAGATCGGGG